AGGGTATGGTTAGAAAAAGAATCGTTTTCGAACAGAGAGTTATGAACAGGCGCCCCGAATCAGGCCGTTTCTAACCGGGATTAATAACTGTTATTAACTCTTGTGTTATTAACTGTTAAGAAGATTTTCTAACGCCGCCGAGGTTTATTAACAGTCGTATTGAATCGATGATCACCACGCGTCCTATCATCTTGCCTGGCTCGCAATCTGCTACCCTATCCTCATTGTAATCCTTGTCTCCATCATCTGGGTCGCACAAAAGCATGCGCAAGGCTTAGGCACGGAGATTAACCTCGCCATCTACCTTGAACTCGGTATCTTACGCCTACAGCCTCCGACCGGACTTTTGAACAATATATAACCGGGCTGATAGACCCCTGGGCTTTTGAACCGTTAATTAACATGTTAATAACCTGTTAATAAACACCGGGTTCATTATTCCGACTTTCAAACTTTACCCTAGTGTAGTCCATGCATCCTCGCGCGACGGTTTCTCTCCGTGTGCCGCGTTGCTCTCCCCCCCTACTATGCTTCGTTACAGCTCTTGGGACCTCAGAGAAAATCTATCCATTTCATCAAACAGACACACGGCGCACTTGATTCCCGGTCTTCGTGCCAGAGCCAGCAGAAGGTTGCCAAGTGAGACGGCCAGACTTTCTGACAGTAGGGTTTTCGGTTTGATTGGACATTTGAAGGTGGAGGGAATCTGTAGACCAGCAATTCTGATAAAAGTAGAGAAGCGGCAAGCTTGCAGTAGGGCCATGGTCGCTCGTAAGACGTGCTAAGACAAACCCCAGTACAATTTCGACATATAACCTATTTTAAAAGGGCTTATCCGAGGTCGGGCTGAGGGAATCGAGTGCAGAGAATCGCGATTCGGGTGTGCGGTGCTCCTCCAGACTCGCACCGGCGATTCGACGTGATTCTGGCAGAATCGCGGATTCCCCCCTTCTCGAATCGTCTCCCGAATCGTTCCCTCGAATTGTCCACCGAACCGCCATCTTTGACTACCCCTAATGCAAACGCGCCCTCGATTAGTGTACATGGCAGAAATGTTTTGGGTCATTTTGCCGGCAGATATGGCAGATATGGCAATTGCCAGAGGCGGCAAATACTGGCAAATATATAGACGCCCACATCAGATATCGGACGTTCACCGTAACCTGTTCCCGATGTGCAATGGCTGCTGTCTACCGTCTATACATCCTCTATGGTCCAAGTATCACCTTGTTCAGCCTCTCCACCCACAAGCACTGTGATCTCCTCCTCAACTGCCACCGGAATCACATTCTTGTCTACCTTCTCAAGCTCCTCAAAGTCGTACAGCTCGCCCTCAAGCACCTCATGGCCATCAATGGTCACCTCCGAGTTCAGGTCGCGGTTTCGAAGCTCCTCTTCAAACTCCTTGAAAGCCTTCTCCAGATCATCCAGATCTGTGTCCTCTGGGCCCTCCAGAGCCTCCGATGGCTCTCTGGCAATGGTGAGTGGTGGTACCCACGTGAAGTCTTCATCGAGGTCAGCGGCGAGCTCTGTGTCGATGCCGCTCTCTGGTCGAGTGTGCATGTGGGAGTGCTTGCGACGAATGGGGACCCCATTGAGGGCGAGCTTTTGGTGTAGATGGCGGGAGAGGTTTGACCGAAGCTTACCGAGCTTCTCGAAGGTGTCGACCGAGAGGCGGCAACGTTTTACTGACTGCGTACCGCCCAGGTCCGAGAAGAGCCGCTCAATATCGCCAGCATGGGGTACGATGGAGTGTAGGGCTCTTGCAAGGGCCTTCAGAGGGTGCTTTGCGGCGTCGACAGGTAAGTTTGTCCACCACTTGAGAGCGTCGGCATCGCCACCGGTGAACGGTTCTTCGCATTTATAGTATGCCTCGAGGTCCGCCTTGAGAGCTTTCGCCCGGGGTAGAGGCCAGCTCCACCTCTGGGCGATTTCCAAGGCGGTCTTCTTCATGAGCTCGAAGCTGCGGCCATTTGCGACCTGGGAGACAGCGAGGCGGCGGCATAGGGGATGGAGAAAGAGGGCGAGGGAGTGATGTGCGGTGTCCATTTCGTAAAAGCGGCGGTTGAAGACAGCCTTAGAGTGCAACCAGAACCCCACCTCATCACTGTCGTGAAGGGTGAGACGCGTCATAGCTCGTGCGCACCGGATGAGCTCGAGCATGCAGTCGGCCAAAGTCGCATCGCGCGACTCAACATTTCCGATCGCGTCGACAAGAGGCTTTACGGTCCGGATGAACTGAGCGATCGCAGGCCAGAATAAGTTGCCATTCGTAACTACGATGTCGTAGATAGACCTCGGAATGGGTGACAACTTGTCAGGAGGGCGTAACGCATCCTCCCTTATGCAGATAGCGATGAGGGCTGGCCTAAGTACAGATTAATCGTAAGATAGGTATCCTGCCCTCTAGAGGTTGCTTACCGATAGGTCTGGACACTCATGCAGTGCAGAACGAGGGCATACCACCGGGACTCGCAATTCTGCTTGAGCGATGTCTTGATTCCGTGTTTCAATGCCTCCCCTTTGAGTTGTCCACCCCAGTAGTGAGAACGATTGAAGAACGTCACAACTTCGGTCACCTTCTTGATAACCTGTTTCATCTTGGCGAATGTTGAGATCTCACCGATGATCGTGTTAAGACCATGAAGGAAACAGGCAAATGTCTGTGAATCGGGGTATTAGTGGATTAGCGAATTGCAAAAGGGAAATGATTACTAGAAGCCAAGGGTATAGCTTTTGTAGCTCTCGTCGATATGCTTGCATTGTTGTCGGGTTGTCTGTTGTGGCGGCAATGAACTTCTTCATGTCACTTAACCCCATAGTTGAGGTTGCACGTTGTGTGGTCTCGATCAATGTTGGAACGTTTCCCCGTTTGCCTGACAAATCATCAAGACTCAGTACGGTGGGATGTTGTTTTACCTCGGCCGCTATAGAGCCATACAACGACCGCTTTAGGCAATCCTCCCACCCATCAAAGAGAAATGTCAAGAAATTCCGTTTCTCAAGCCGCTTCATCTCCTCATCCCACACTCGAACACTCTCCATATCGAGCAGCCGATGGGAACGTAGGGAGATGCAGGTGTGTACGATGGCCGGATCTCGTGCACAAAGTCAACGAAATACCAATTGCCGGAGGTGCGGAAGGAGGCGTTTGCATGGACAATATAGCTTGTTCACACGATATTAACAGGTATTCTCAGAGGGTTATGTGAATAATAACTCACCGAAGAAGCTTTATATCCGCTTTCGTCTGCTGTGCTTCTGACAGCGTGCGGTCGAAGTAGCCATTTAAGTCTGCTCTCCGTCGCTTGGCTGGGACAGGCACAGAGTCTGGGGCTTCGGAAGTACCACCTCCTGTGGAGTTTGAGTCTGTGGGGGTGCTGGTGGTTTCGGGTGTGACCTCATCCGGCAGAGGAACCGTTGCTGGATCAACAGCACCCTTGGCACGGAGGGCTATTCCGGCATCACAGCGAACAGAGTGCGGAGCTTTTGGGCATTTCTTGGAGTCCACCAGGTGATTGAGAAGGTTATTGTCGCGGCCTTCAATGCGAGCACCATACTGTGAGGTTGGACCGCAGTGCTTGCATTGCCAAAAGAAGCGGTTTGACTTGTTACTGACAGCCTCTAAGCGTGTGAAGTTGCTAGTGACGACAGCAGGCTGCTTCCGTCCCTTGTTGGAGGATTGGGCGCTGGCGGATTGGGACATAGAAGCCGCTAGAGACGATGTGACGTGTCCACAGAAGGGAACTTTGAACACCAGCTCACGCCAGTATAACGGTATTTCCAAATATATTCATCAGGCGCTTATATATCTGCCAATATCTGCCAGGGAAGGTCCGCTGGCAAAATGGCAATTGCCACTGGCAGAATGGCAGCGGCAGAATGGCAGCATTTTGCCGCGTACACTACCCTCGATCCACCTGACCAGCGCCATCTACCCTCATATCGTTATCGTACGTGATCAGCACATCTTTAGGCATTATTGAGAGCCTGTCAAGCATCATGGGAGCTTCGTTGCAGTCTTCTATACAGTGCAAGTGTCAGTGGCGATCCCTAGTGTTGACATCTGCATCGAGAGGTTACGGTGTTTCCTTGGACCGGGTTGAACACCTGATATGCACCAATTTCCCGGGGACTGTCTTCTACATTTGCGCAGAAGGGTTCACGATGCTGTGTCCCACACCATGGCGGACTGTGCGCTGGTCTACCTGTATAAAAGACAGTCAATCTGATGTTCGTACTCTTCAGTGTTCGCTTGCACCCATCTAATCCGGTAAGCCCTCTGCATTCGACCCAGTGGATCGCTCTGCTAACGACAGCCCACATTGCAGACCTCTCAGAAGGCAACAGGTCCGACTCACCTATTCCCACACTCCATCTCGCCCGCTGTACTGAATTCCCTCCCATTCATCTAGTAGCAACCATGGTCGACACCTCCGTCCTCCTCGCCCTCGCGGCGCAGCATCAGCGCGTGCACTTCGACTACACGCCCGCCTGGGGCCGCGGCTCGCCCGCCTCCTACGTCGACAACGTCACCTTCCCGCACGTCCTCGACGACAAGGCATACCAGTACCGCGTCATCGTCGGGGACAAGGACCTCGGCCTGCGCAAGTCGTACTCGATCCAACCGGACGGCTCGCAGAAGGTCAACTTCCTCGAGTACAACGGCGGGTACGGCATCGCGGACAGCAACCGCATCCGGGTGTATGTCGTCGACCCCGAGAGCGGGAACCAGTACCTCATCGCCCAGTGGAACTAGCGGTAGCGACCCTGAAACGCGACATGGTGACAACTTCTACTGCTGGAGTTACTTGTGAAGTGTATCATCATGTCGCAGAGAGGCGCAAGATGTTCGATATCAATTGTCATTATATTGCGAGTGCAGGCGTAGCTACGTGGAGGGACGTGTACTAGTAGATACAACGATGTAAGGATGCCGAGTCCGCTGACGTGAGGTGGTGTTACATACGGAAAGCATGAAGCAGCATAGTAGTAGTGAACTCATGGGTGTCGATAATGTAAAGATAAGGTAAAGCGTCGTGCCGTTGTAGTTACCTAGTAGGATGGTGCTAGAGTAAGTTTGCGCGGATCGATGCAGAACACAGCATCGTCGAATGGCTCGGACGTGCCACATGTTTCGCAGCAATCGGTCACGAGCTCGAGCCGCTTCCTCGAGTCCGGGCTCTGAGCAAGGAGCTTCAGCGATTGCAGCCGGTCGGGGCACGCCATCCGCTCAGCATCAGGATGCAGTCGCAAGACGAGCCTTGAGTCAGGTTTCGACAAGCGGACCCTCTCCCAGAACGGCTCGATGAACTGCACAACAGACTCGCTGACCTCCCCCAGACAGAAGTTGAGTTCGTTCAGGTCGGTCCAACGTGCCAGGGGCTCTGCTTCCTTGCACGCGTCCCGAATGAACGCCTTCACAGCCCAACGGCTGCCCAACGCGAACCGGCGTATACTGGGGAAGGCCTGAATGACGTGGGGCTGCCAATACACGCAGGAGTCCTGATACTGGCGGACAGGCGAAATGTGAATCGAGAGATGAACTATCCGCGCCGAGTCAACGATGCGGGAGAGCTTCTCTACGGCGCTGGGAAGCAGCGCGGCGCGATCGATGGCCGTCCACCCGGTGGTGTCAAAGGTACCCGTTGAGCTCTGGCGGGCCTCGAGGTGATCAGCATCTTCGCCTGGCCAGCCCTTGACGGTGAACTGGCCGTCGACGCGTAAGTCGAGGGCCGTGATGGGTTCGCCCATGCCTGAGGGGAAGTTGCTGCTGAATATTCCGCTTTGCGCTTGGTACAAAACTTGACCCGGTCCCAGAACGGCCCGAAACTCGACAGTGGGGAAGGGATGCAGGAAGAAAGGAACGAGCTCCTCCATATACTCTAGGCGATCTTCGATGAAGAGGTACTCGAGCCTCGGTAGCACGATTGGGCGAAACGCCGGGTGGTCATCTTCGATCGGGAGCGTGTAGTCCAACGATAAGCGCTGAAGGTGTGTACATCCCTCCAGCGTATCGAGCAGCCAAGATTGAGGATGCCCTGCCAATACGAAGTCTTCATAGTAAGACACGGTGGAGGAGAGATTCAAGAGGACCAGCTTCTCCTTGACCTGCTGCGGTATATCCACCAAGATGCCCGATGTGTCCAGGGCCTCCAGGCTAGGGAGACGAGGCAGCTTCAAGATCCTCGGGCTTTCCGGGTCCTCGTCGACAACAAACGTGTCACCAGGCTGTGTAGCGTCCGCGTAGTCTTCCGCGAACTGCGAAACAGAATCCTCGCTGTCGACCTCGGACTCGTCCGAAGTCTCGGACGCGCTGTCAGGCGGACTATCCGACTCACCACAATCCCAGCCGTTAGCCTCTGTTCGTTTTTCATCCTCATCCTCCTCATCCTCGTCCTCCTCATCCTCCTCGTCTACATCGGTATCGGAGCCCCAGACGTCTTCGCTCCAGCTCAGCGATCGCGCTTCAGACAATGGCTCGGCATACTCTTCCAGCTGCAGCGCCTGGACGTGGTCCGCGCGCAGCGCCTCCACGACATCGAACGCCTCCGCACGCACGGTGACGTGCCACCGAATCCGTAGAGAGGTAACACTCTCCGAGATCGGCAATTGCGCGTAGTGGAGGTTTCGAAATAGTGTTCGGAACCAGCCGTCTTGGCGAACCCCGTGACCTGCATCGACTGTGACTTGCAACCCCTGCAGGAGCCCTGAACGCCTCAGAACCACGGCAATGGTGAGTAGAGGGGTGTGTGGCCGAAAGAAGAGGTTCGTCCACATGGAGGGGTCGCCATACAAGGCATTACGCCAATGCTTGCTGACGCACGCTAAGCTCGCCCACGACATATCCGCCTCGTCGTGGTCCAACGCGTCCCGACGGACGAGGTGGAATATCTGGCAAAGTATTTCGGTTGGAGGGGCGGAAGCCATGTGCGGCAGGGCTTGTTGGAGATGGCCTTTTCGATGGAGGGGAGCTCGAAGGCCAGCGGACGGAGGTGGTTAGGACTGTGGAGCTCGCGATCTAGAGAGTAATAGCGGTCATGACGACTCAATCCAATGCATAAGGAGTCAAATAAGCTTACCCGGCGCAGAGGTGCTCGAAGGAGGAGAGTGGAGATGTGGTGGTGGAGGAGGAAGGTGTAAAGCGGAGAAGGGCGCCTTTTATCAGCACGCTTCGACCTGCTCTGTTCAAACTCCGGCGCATATCTGCCCTTCTTTCTTTCGGGTCCCCAAGTATGTTTCTGCTTATCAGATATCGTCTACGGGAGTAGGTTCATGGGGCTTACAAACAAACAAAAGACGGCGGTGTCACCTCCCGGTCATTGACGAAGCCGTCGACTAGGATGACCCTCCTCCAGTCACGTCGAAATACATGCCCATCTAGCCAATGCGTAGGTAGCCCTTGAATGGAATATTCAGCAAAGTCAAAGCTGTATTGTCCTAGAGCTTGCCTGCAATACATGACAAGCAACGGCACCTGGCGCGGGACCCTTGGAGGACGAGACTGTCGCAACCATCCCCACAATTCGAGAGATAGTCCTGGCCAAATCCAAATGATGCTGTCCCAACAATGGATGTTGTGAGTCTCATCTGGCATACGACCCTTGCGCATGCGTTAGTGTTTGTGGGCCTGATCAGATCAAACTATCTGGAGCGACCGGGCGGCTGATGATCCAACCGGGCTCTCTTATATACTGTTTCATAGACGGTTTGCTCTATCTAACGAGTGCAATTACGCGGATATGTGGGACATCTATATCGGAGATGTTGAGTATTGTGGATTATCGAGCATTACAGACTCACCCTACGACTTGCAGCCGATATGATTATAGTATCCCGACGCAGACAACACAGCCTCCCAAAAATCGAGCCGAAGTAAGTGAATCGTAAACTTCAAGTGTGGCGTGTCTCCCAAAGAGAAATCATTACACATCTCGACGCCTACATACAACACTACAAACTCGTTACAGGGAAAAGCAGCAAACAAGAAGGTCGGTCCGTGAAACCATGTAACCATTTCTATCGACCTAGGCAACGCGAATACGCAGGCTCGACCCTTAGGCTCAGAACCGCGCTTAGTGGGTGTATGCACCGCCAGTAGCACCGTAGTTCGGCTGCGGGGGAACACCGCCGGGTGCCTGCTGGTAGGCAGCTGGCTGGTACTCGCCATTGCCCACATCTAGGTTTGCATCCCTCCTCAGTCTACGTCTAGAACGAAATGGATGTAACGACGCACAGATGTATCCGCCACGGCCGTAGCGCTCCTCGGCCTGCATCTTCTTGTAGATTAACCAGAAGGCATGCTGCGCAACGCAGCATTAGGAATTGTATGCACAAGGCTTCAGATGAGGTTGCTTACCAGATGTCCTGGAAGATACCCGAGGCTAATCCAGGGGAAAACAGCCAAGAGGTGGCATATGAGAAGAACGGCATCGGTGAGTATCTCGCATACGTATACCGATCGACATGTCTCAGGCGGGTCACCGCCGTCTAACTTGATTCGACCGGTTGGGACTTGGAACACTCACACAGTCAGGAGGATGTTGATGAGGAGGTCACAGCTGCAACCAGTGATGAATGCCGCTGCGGCAGGGGGGAAAAGGATAGCAACCTATAGACGCAGGAATCAGCTCAGCTCCATATTCTCGAACATATGCGGAGGCGGTGCAATGGCCTGAATGACGTGAACAAAATACATACAACGATGAGAAGGACGTCCGAGCCGCGAACCATGATGAATGCGAGTGCTGGTGGTAAAGCGGTTGTTGTGATGTATAGAGAGATGCTAGTGGGAAAGGGACAAGGAAGACGTCAGGACTCTGAGAGGAGGATGGAGTCGGCGTGGCCCGGGGTCACGGAGGCAGCTGCGCCCAGGGACGCAGCCGCAGCCGGCCATGACGTAATCTGCCTCCGACGTGACTGCTAGTGACCGGACGCGTCCGGACGCGTCGAACGCGCAAGGGGCGAAGCTCCGGCGTCTTTGGTGACTTGCGGCATGGCAGGAAACGGCAAGGTCACTTCGGTATATATTGCAGGTCGCGGAACCTGAGCAATATCCGTGCCTGAGCTCAACGTACAAGCTAGCCTCCGCGTATAGTGACTAGCACTAGTGCTGATATCGTGACAAAATGGTTACACGCTGCTGGGCCCTCTCTATTCCGGAGCCATCAATTAAGACATTACTATGATACGTAGCGAGCAGCGAGTGACAGAGCAAAATGTGGATAGTGTTCGTAATATTACAATGTGCCTGTTGTGGTATGTTGCATGTGCAGCATCTCCTGGCATCATCATCCGCTACCTGTGGACCCTATAGCATGTCGGTGGCCATGAGGTATGTTACGAGGATCGCGTCTCGTACTGTGAGAGTCATAACAGCTTGGTTTCAGCCGACGAAGCCCACGACATCAGAGCGGAAATGGCCGTACTTCGCATGAGTACCGCGGAAGTCATGTCAATGTTCTTTAGAGGCGGACCACAGTCAGCGACATTACAAGCTGCGACGTGTCCACTCACAATTGCACAGGTCGTATGTACATGCAATTGCCGCGGTTCCGGCGAGTGATGGTGGTGCATAGCGATGAATTTTTTTCGAAGATCTGCCCGAGATCGGTTAGCGCGAATGAATTGAAGTGGCGGAGTAACTCATCACCGAAGATTGCACTCACAATCTGTGACGGACATGAGGTCGTTCTCACCTCGGTAGCTCTTCACATAACTTGAGAACTGCACGCCCGCTTGGAGTCTTGCTTCTAGGATGTCGGTTTTGTTGAGCAGCAGGATGAATTGGATCGAACTGAGTAGTCGACTCGAGCAGATCGTCTTCCAGAGGTTGAACGAGTCCAGCTGACGATGATGTTAGTCGGAGCCTTACCGTGCAGGCGTGGTCTACATGGGGCGCACCAGACGATTGACGGCGCGGTCCTCCAGAAGGACCTCGTTGAAACCGGCCGTAGAACACATGAAGATGATGGCGTTCACTACAACAAGTCGAATTTAGCATAGAGCGAGACCGTCTCGGATCATCGTACGCACCATCCTCGAAGTATGGTAGCCATGACGCTATATACACGGCTGAGCGTCGAGGCAAGACATGAAGACTATAGGACGCACCCCGTTGACCTCGGGCGCCACCAACATCATAGAATATCCACTGTTGACCGTTTTCGGCCGCTGCAGAGCCGTCGTCGGGTTTGTATCATAAAGCCTGGAAGGTTGAGCAGAGCTCACCCGTCTCCATCACTAACTGGTGCTCCTCCACTCCGACCGTCTGTAGCCGCGCACGCAGAATGTCATCTGCAACCAACGTTACATCTCGCTCACCGCAGGCACGAGGATGGGAAGCAAGTACCAAACGTGGGCTCGTAACTCATGCTTGCTATTCGTTCCGCTTGGTCCAAGAAGCTGTGTCAATACAGAAGTCCGTTAGCGGGGAAGAAGTCTCCAAGGAGCCGACGCATGGATACGCACAATCCGGACTGCTCCCTCAGCACGACCCCTTCCTCTGTCAAGCCTGCCTGCACGCCCTCACTCGCCCACAACGCCACAATATCCGCTCGACACGCATCGAGAATCTGCCTGGCGTTTTCGAGCGCCTCCGCATGGTCCTGGTCGTATTGGGTTTGCGCCTTGTCCTGAGGCTTACGCTTCAGCAGCGACACCCATGCTCGCCCGCCTCGCACCGTGACCTCCGACGGTCGCCCGCTCGAAATAGTGTTCGAAGGATCATGGATCTCACGCTCGTGCACCGACAGCTGTTTGGCGAGGATCATCTCGACCTGTCTCAGCGGCGAGAGCGCGAGCTTGAAACGCCGGATCTCGCTCGATGGCTGTGGCTTCTGCGATGCGCGGTGGTGCGGATGCGCTTGCCCGAACGTCGCAGCCGTCGGGCTTGCACTCCCTTGCGAGTGCAGGGATACGTCGCCGTGGGGGCGGTACGTCGTCGAATTAGAGTGGGATAGCTGCGCGTCCGCTGTATGGCTAAGGAGATCGATGATGTAGTTGACGGACCGGACGAGGTTGAGGTGGATCACCGCGCGCCAGGCATCGCCCTCTGCGCGGAATGCTCGCGGGGTAAAATGCAGCTGGAAGTTCTTGAGCATTGTTGACTTCCCGGACTCCGACTGCCCTGCAAGCGCATGCGGTCATACGTCAAACGGTAAGCGTTGTGACGTGCCAAGGCAGGGTGGTCAACAGAACAGGTCCGATCGAGTGGCGCGCCGTCAGTCCGAATTCAGCATTGCGACGTTAACGAGTCTTCAGCTGACGCACGCGGAGGCAGGCGTACCTAGCAGGAGCAGCCGCGTCTCTTCCTTCCGCTTCCTCCGTGTAGATTGCAGTTCGAGCTCGAGTGCTTGGTCGATCGCGTCCGACACGCGCCTTGCCTCCCTCTCATCCTCCAATCTGAGTGCCTTCTCCAGTTCAGTCTCCCCCGGAGGTGGGTATGGCGGCCACTGGCCGCTGTCGCGCGCATCTTCGTAGAGGGAGGCGATCTCCTTCCCCTTGCCAGAGCTGCTGCCGGGGTGCGGCATGTCTGACAAATCGTCTTTGAAGTTATCGTCGGCTCGTAGAGCACAGCGCAGAACCGTAAATCCGGCACTCAAACCTGCCCGCCGCGAAGGAGGGGGCATACAAGGCGCGCCAGCCAGCAGATGTTTTAGATAGCGAAGGGGGCGGAGGCAAAGGCAAAGATGGGATTCCAACCATCCGCCCCCTGGCCGGCGTCGGTTCTTAGCTGGCCTCGGGACAACGCAAGGCAGGGGCGCGTTTTCCGGGATCGATGATACTGGATCTATGAGATCTGATGATGGCATTCAAACACACCCCGTCGACCGGCGACCATCCTCGCTGAATTTCGAACGTCTCTTGGAACACTCGGCTCCCATACCAACCTGCATAAACCTGATCCCACCGGGTCCGTGAGTATCGGGCGACGGCGGCGAAACCGTGGTGCTCACCGCCCACGCCGGATTTGCACAGTGATTCCGCTATTATACCCGTTGCCCTCCAGATGCAGCCGTATCACCCCTACGCGCGCTGCGCCTACAGCGGTGTTGTCGCAGGCGGCGTGCCGGGCGCGATCCGAGTCGCAATGGTGTTGCGGACGATGGTGGCAGCCGCGCTGGCATCACTTCTCCGCGGCTCTTCATTTCTGAATATGTATCAGGCATGCGCGTGAATGCCAAGATAAGTAGTGGCAGTCTTTCGAGTGAAACCCGATTTCAACCACATATGCACATTCTCGTACGTACCGGTAGTGCCGAGGACCGTGTCGTGGTAAAGCAGAGAAGCGTGTCAATGGTAGCCCCTCCGAAGGCGGCGTCTCTGTCGGCTCACGTTAGCAGTACTTCTTGGTCTACTGACATCCGCACGTCCAACACCTTGGTCCTTGGACTCATGTCGCCTGCTCTCTTCCATGCCCATCGTGAATGTTGAATCACCAACTACCATCTGGCTCAGAGAGCCGGCATTCAGGCAGTGATAACAAGTGCGATAGGAGGGAGGCTACCGCTTGAACCTTCAGGGCAACATGGCAAGACAGAGTCTCCAAAATCTTCTCCAATCTATGTAGCAGGAAGCATGCAAACATAGCCGGCGATCGCGGGTAGTGCGGGGAAGATAAGCCGGAAGAGACCAGCGTGAGACCAGCGGCGTTCTGGCGCGAAGCTATCCTAGAAACGCAAATCGTACGTCACCGTGGCATCTATTGTTACATTGCTCACTATGTAGTGTGTGCTGATGGAACCTTTGACAGAGAAATCGTGCGCTACGTCAGCAAGCTGTAGGCAAAGTTCGATAGGCTGTGGTCTTCAAAGGCTCCTTCGACCGTGGTCTCGTGCCCTCTGTAACCCAGGCTTAGGTGAACACAGACATGCCATCATATGAAGGCTTTGCAACTACTTAGACCAGTGCTAGGTCGCCGGGCTGCTGGGAAGCATCGGCAGTTGCTACCTAGGTAAGGGTTTTCCAGCTTCTGGGCTCTCTCGCTATTCCCCTATAGCTAATTCATGGCCCGCTTGAGTCTGTCAGAAGGCCTAGCCACCCCTCGCCGTCTGCGAGTTGCTCTTTCATGATAGATCATAGCCCGAAGCGAACCCGGACCAGTGCTCGCCTCAGTTTCTTGGACCGCTAATGTTTCCTTTACCTGCGACCTCCACCGTCTCAAGAGACGGCACCTCTGAAATGGCGGCGGTGGCCAGGTTTACAGAACAGATCAAGGATTTCAGCGTCATACTTGTTGGCTCCTCGTCGCTCGCTTATGATGATGCACGAATTGCTCGAGCACATCTGCTGTCATCTCGATTGTACTCGGTGCGTGACCGTTTTGTTTCCTTTGGATTGTTTGCTTGTCGCACTATTCGCCATGTACGCTACATATCCTGTTTACTCTCTCGGTCCCGGATGGTTCTGCAGGACAAGCAGACTGACTGCCGCCTCGGTCAGCTCGCCGAGAGCCTTCTCAGTGTCCCCTCAGCATCGGACGCTTCTCTTCGCAGCAGTGCAGATCTCTTCTCAAAATCTCCATGGCTACCATCGTGATACATCCCCCTCGCCTTTCTCAAGGTGTGATTCTCACCATCTTGTCTGCTAAGCTAGCGCTTTGCGACAGGCATTTACGAGCTACCAGTGCTGCGCCTCCATCAAGTCAGCTCATCACGGCGACTCCTGTCGTACGAGGCCTCCATCATGCTTTCCGCTGTTCCCTCGCTTCGACAACGCGATGGGCTTGTCTTTCGGCCTCGTTGTGATGCAACGTCGTCGCCCCTCCTGCACACATGCTACTTTCGCGGCCATTCACAGACTAGTACCCGGCGGCTGGAACTGAGCGTGAAACCTGGATTATGAGGCGGCGGCGTGTGTCTTGGGGTACGTACTTCTTTTATTCGATCTGTCGAGCATCGAATATGCTAAGTCGGATCGTCTATACACAGGCATCTTATTCTACCCTGCATGCGTTTCAGGGTTATCTCTTGATCGGTACCGGAGCTGAGCAACGAGTATGGTAATCGCGTCTTATAGATTTATTCCACAGCGCCACCTGTCACTCATGAGCCGATTCACGCGCGGCAGGGCTTGAAATGCTTGAAGAGACTACCATACAGGCATATGTGAATTCCAGCTTTCTCTACTCAGGCTCGATGCTTTTGACATCGTACTCGAGGGCTTCTCGTACATTGCCCCATATGTATATCTTCCCAGCGTCCTTGCACCATTGGTGTCGTCCGCCTCGGTTGCTTGCGAGAACGGTCTATGGTGTTGGTGTCTTGCGCAGAATGGTGCGAGGATGCCAAACGAAGTTCCATCCGCCTCCGCCGCTTAGAACGGTACGTGCGACTATATAGGACGAAGATGACGGGCAACACTGGAGTACCACCACTGCCTCTTGTATGGCTTTCGCCCTATGAGGTTGTACGCACCCAAGTCTATGCAGACGTTCACGACCCCTAGGACGAATTTTACGAACTCCGCTCCCAGAACGACCTCCTCTACTTCCACTAGGACGACTCCCTCCATTGCGAGCACCGCTTCGAACGACTCAGCCTCCAGCACGACATCAAGAACGAAATCCAACGAACAACCGAAAATGCTCGTAACCGGATACCCCGCCTTCGCGCAGAAGGAACTCATGGACTCCTTCGCTGCCCGCGACAGCATTGATGTCACACCACGGGCCAGCGAGGACGTCACTGTTCGCGGGAGCCTCGACTTCCCCATCAGGGAGAGCGTCGACAGCACCGTTAGGGGCAGCGTCAACATCGCTGCCAGGAAGAGTCTCGACCAAACTATTAGGGCGAGCACGGACACCAGGCTAGAGTTCAAGAGGACCAGCATGGACTCGGACAAAATGAGTGAAATCATTGAGAAGGAGATAGACTCGGGTCAGACTACTCCCGTGGAGGAGTTTTTGGTCAGATTCGAGGCAGGAGAGCGGGACGACCCCAAGGCAAGTCCCGAGCCATGCGAGATGAACTCTTCATTTGAGCCTGCGCTGACTTCCTATCGTCGTAGAACTGGTCAGGATGGTACAAGTGGTACCTGAACATGCTTGGAGGCTTATTGGGCTTTGTGACGTAAGTGCCACGACGGATGTGGGACGTGGTCCCCCCTTGTGACTAACAGTTTCAATGCAGGACCTTTGCGTCGTCCGCGCCGTCCGGGTATGCCACCGACATCCTCGCCAAGTTTCACCTCGATGCCGAACTCGACGCGCTCGTCATCTCGCTTTTTGTTATGGGCTTTTGCGTTGGGCCTCTTCTGTGGGCTCCGCTCTCTGAACAGGTTTGTGGGTCAGCATCCCCACCAGTGCCCACGGCTTACGTCTAGTTTCTATCAGTACGGACGTCGACCCATCTTGATCATCAGCTTCCTTGGGTTCACGGTACGTACTCATCCCCTACACACTATCGTAACGATCCTAACCGACGAATGCAGGCCTTTCAAATTGCATGTCCCTTCGCAACGCACTTCGGTGCTATCGCCGCCTTCCGATTCTTAGGCGGTGTCTTCTCGGCTTCTACTCAGCCCATAGCCCCGTACGTCATTCCATGTATATTGGCCAGGACAACGTGCTCATCCATATTTCTTTAGTGCCTTTGCTGTCGATCTGTTAGTACGCGTGTTCTTGGATATGCTCGTCAATATTTATCCGAGTTTCTGCATGACAGCTGGGATGATGCGACAAGGGAGAAAGCTCTCATCGTCCAAGCTATCCTGTCTTTCATCGGTCCTACAATGTATGCTGATTCACCGACTCACATTACTCAGAGTTCAGAGCTCATTGTCATCTCTCAGCGGTCCTCTTGTCAGCGGCTACATGGCTGCAGCAAACATTGATTGGAAGTGGTGTTTCTGGATGCTCGCCATAATGGTCCGTGTCATTCTATCGGATCCAAACGTGCTCTCACGTCCACCCTAGACCGGCACGTGCACCCTCTTGATCATCCTCACCTACCCAGAGACCTACAGGTAGGCTTATTTCATATGGTTTGACCTAAGACAACTTCACTCACGAATCATAGGCCGATCCTTCTTACCCGCAAGGCTAAGCGTTTGCGCAAGGAGACGGGTGACGTGCGCTACCAGGCCCCCCTTGAGCTAGTTCAGAGTCCCAAGCTGTCTGGAAGGCTTCATGATACACTGGCCAAACCTTTTATCATGTTCCTCCTCGAGCCCATGCTAATCGCTACCACGATGTACCTGGCGGTGGGTGCACCACCCTCTGTTCTCATCACACGAACGCTCATCACGAGATCTAGTTTCTCGGCGGTTGTCTGTACATGCTATTGGAGGCGTACCCTGTCGTTTTCCAGGAGGGCTATCACTTCTCTTCCAGTAGGTGACTCCTGAGCACTAAGGTTTCCAAGACTCACGGCCCGCGTGTTACCCAGGCACGCTCGCCCTGACATACCTCCCTGTGACCGCTGGCAACTTTTTCGCATTGGCTCTGGTATGTCAAGCCCTATTCTCTCTCCGATTGCATAGCCCATAGAATCTCCTCTCTTCAGCACCTCTGGGTCATACAACCCGAGTACGAGCGGAAGGTGAAGGCATATGCGCCTAACCCAGTTCCTCCTGAAGAGCGGCTCTGGGTGGCGGTGTGGGCCGCCCCTCTCTTCGCCATCACCTTCTTGTGGTTCGGGTATGCGATGTCTCTCAGAGTGCTCGAAATCCGCCCACTTACAACCAATCTCAATTCTATCTGACAGGTGGACGTCGTTCCCGACGATCAACTTCTGGGTTCCGATGATGTCAGGCTTCGTCATGGGTTGTACGATGCTTCTCTTGATGGTGCGTATGCACTTGCCCTATTCCAGATCAGCCGTACTCAATTCGGAGATACCGACAGGTCGCAATGTTCAATTACATCGTCGGTATGTCCTTCTGGCGGTTATCGTGGACCGCGGACGGTAGCTAACGCATTAAGCGCAGACGTCTACGCTTTCGCAGCAGCAAGCGCACTCTCATCCAGCATGGCCATCCGAAACGTCTTCGGCGCGGTGTTCCCAGTAAGTTTACACAACGTCACTGCCGTAGCGACTCATCTCACGTCCCGATAGCTCTTCTCGACGCAGATGTACCGCGCCCTCGACCCGCGGTGGGCGTCGACCTTAGTGGGGTGTGTCGCCATCGTCGCTATCCCCATCCCCATTGTCCTCAAACGGTGAGGGGTCTTGTGGCCTAGGTCACCTGTGCTACACAGAACACTAACCTCTATCACCATCACTAGGTATGGTCCCGCGTTCCGCGCGAAATCGCGGTACCAAGACCCCGTGCGCATCATTTAGTCTATCTGCGTTGCGTGTAGGCACCCGGGTGTGCTTGTCATGTTCAGGGACCGAGAATGTCAATACGCGTGAATACATTCGTGTTGATCGTCATCATAGCGCATAGAGATATGTATGACGTACAACAAGTCAGCGAGGAGTCACTGAACAGCAGCAAGAGAGACAACGAGAGGGAGCAACAGAGAGAGTACTTGTGTGTTCATCGCGACATGAGAGATCATCGGAGACAACAGGCCATGCAAGAAGAGACATTAGGGCATCGATACTGGAACACGGGCTAAGAGGACGCGAGGGAAGACATCGAGCTGGAAGAAAAGGGGATCAAGGGAAGTGCTCGAGGAGAACAACGAAAGGCGATCGAGCGTGAATGTCCAGACTAGGACAGACTGAGTCAGCCTGAAGATGTACAGAACGAGGATATATGCACGATCGGCATAAAAGTACAAAACATCGTAGGCCCCCGAGATGGAGGTCGGAAGCGAAGGATACTGAGACAAGACAGGCGGTCATCGTGATGGGATTACGGTGTATGCGGATCTGAGGACTATGGCTTTCGGATACGTTTGAGGTGAATGGGACCCGATCAGGGGATGTGATGTGCAGAATGAGGGATATGTGACAGTGCGCGCACGTATGTGTGCATGTGTGAGTGGGAGAGCCGACGATGATGATATGATAGTGCTTGGAAGGACGCGGCAGGAAATAACAGAACAGCAGAGAGCATAAGAGAAGTATACGAATAGTGAGCACAATATGTACAGCGCGTGTGAGCGGTCCCGGAAAGCCCAGACAACGAAGGAACTCGGAGCAAGCAGAATGTGCGTAGCGAGACTCTGGATAGGATAGCCGGGGGAGCGAAAAGGGGCAAGAGAGGAAAGGCACCAAGGTCTATGAGCAGGGCAAGCACGGTCCCAGAGTTGGCGGCGCATACGAGCACGGTCCCAGAGCTGGCCGGGCATAAGATCACATAACGAAGACAACGTCCTCTTCCTCGTCCTCTTCGCCCTCCAGATTTTGGTTCACATCTTGAGGAGCCTCGGCGCCCGCGGATTGGGCAGCAGCGTCCTGGGCCAGCACGTACCCGTCGTCCTCCACCTGGCTCTGTTTGGCGGTGGGGAGCACGAACTGCAGCCACTGCAGCGTACGGACGTGCCCGTTCCTGACCTCGACCATCGAAGAGAGCGTCAGGACCTCTGTAACGAGCTGCACGTCCGTCGTCAGCGTGAGCACGCGGTTGAACGACGCAAACAGTGCGATCGGTATCCACCCACGCGAGTCCATCTGCACGAACGCAAACAAACGAGCGAACATCAGCATATATGCACCCAGTCGACACCCAAACAGACTCACCTGCTGGCGGAGGTAGAAGTCCTGCGCCAGGTTTTGCGGACTGAGGTAGTACTCCAGCTGGCCCAGCAGATAGTACCTCGTCGAGTCCAGCGGGAAGCCCACGTTCGACTGCGGCATGGGGAGCGGCGCGCCCTGCGAGCCCGCGTTCTGCGCCTGCGGCGGTGGAGGGGGCAGCGGGGCGTAAGGGTAGCCCTCAAATGCCTGCGGAATGTACGTCGCGAGGGGCGCCACCGGGGGAGCGTAGTATCCGTTCACCTCCGGCTGAGGAGGCGGCTGCACCGGGGGCACGTACGTCTGCTGACGCTGCTGTTGGCTGTTGTACCCTCCGCGGGTGTACGGCCGGTTCTGGTACCCGCGACCGCCGTATCCGCCAGCAAGTCCTCTGGCCCTCCGCCCGCCGTACGTCCCGCGTTGGTAGTACCCGCTGTAGGACTCTCTGCGTGGCCTGCCGCCGTAATGCTGATCGCGATCAGCTTGGTAGTCGCGGCCTCCGTGATAGGGCCTGTCCTCGCGATGGAGAGCACCAGCCGCCTGGGGATACACCGGCGCCGGGACCCCACGTCCGAATCCATACCCGTAGTCGCGCACCTCGAACTCGTCCTCAGCGACAGACTGCGCTTGCCGAGGGGGGACGTAGGTGGACGGCGAAGCCGCAGAGGGGATGCCGTTGACGGGATGGCTGGGGATGCCGACGGGCGGGATGAACGGGGGCGCGTTCGCGTAAGAAGCGGGCATTGGAGCGAAGCTCGGCGGCGCAGGGATCCCAGACGGGTCGGCAGCAGGCGGCGGCGGCGGACCCAGTGGGGGAGCGAACTCGGCCTGCGGCTCTGCAGCATCCTCGGTCTGCTTCGTCGTACCGAACTCCCACTTCGTCTCCGGCAGAGGGTCCGTCAGGTGGATCACCTTCGCGGCCGCGTCCGCGAGCGCCGCCAATGGATCCTCGCTCGCAGCGCTGGGCAGCTCGCCCTCCTTGCCCGCCATCGAGATCTCTGCCTGTGCGGAGGCAGACGCAACAGGGCCCTTCGAATGCGTGCGCGAGCGGATCCGCGCGGGGGTAGGCTCTCCTGGCGCGACGCCGATCAGCAGGACGGTGGGCGCCTTCCCAGACACGTCCTTCTGCCCTTTTCCCCCTACATCACCCTGCGCAGGAGCCTCCAGTGCAGCCTGGCCACCGCCAAACACGTCAAGGCCCAGCGCAGCGCCTTCCAGCACAGACCCCGAGTTAGGCGAAGCGGGGGCGGGGCTGGGGCTCTTGCTCGTGCCCTCCGCGCCCGCGCCGATGCTCCCAAAGCTGAGTTCCCGCGGACGCCCACGGCGCTGCTCCTCCTCCTCCTGGCCCTGTTGGCTGACCTCCGCCGTCGGCGGGAGCGCGAAGCCCACATCGCGGTAGCCGGCGACGGCGTCAGATTCGTGCGGGGGCGGTGGTCGCGCGAGCATGGTAGGGGGCGGCACGCCGTCGCCGGGCTGTGCGTGCCCCATGGGCGAAGACATCGCTGGGGGCAGCGATACCCCGGGCGGGGGCCAGTACATGTACGGCTGGCCATAGGGGTATGGGTAAGGCGAGTACATGGCGTATGGCGGCGGCGGCGTGCCATAACCCGACATTGAGATGGGGGGAGGTATACCAGGCTGTCCCGGGTAGCCCATGGGTGGTAGAGGGTAGTGGTTGCCGGCGGGGGACCCAGCGGGGTGGGGAGAGTGATATGGGGATACGCCAAACGGGGGTGCATGCGGAGCGGGAGCGTAGTACGCAGCATGCGGGTTCAATTCTGCGGGGCTTGTTGCTGCGGCAGCACCAGAATCGGGAACAGCACTGAGGGCCGAAGGTTGGACGTGCGTTACGCTTGTGTTGACATAAGGCCGTAGCCCAACACCGGGAATGAATTCCGCAGGCAGAGGCTTGGGCTGCGCGAACGTCGAGGGGGAGTTCGCGGCAGAGGAGCGCAAGCTACGGTTCGCGCCGAAGACGGGGCCGCTAGACTCATCTGGCAGCCGCCGTCCGCCTCCGCGTATGCTCGCATGACGAGGGCTCGAGTGAACGCTTCCCGTTCGACTCTGCGCTTGTGAATGCGATACAGATCCTGCATGCGATGGCGTCTGCCGCCGACCAGTTGCAGAATGCGTCCGACTTTGGTGCTGAGACCCCTGCCCCGATGACGAAGAGGCTGTAGCAGATTGTCGGCCTGCTTGCCGAGGATGGCTGCGATCCGTGTTGTGAGGACGTTGTCTTGCGTGAGGGTTGCGCACCGGCCCCTCGAAATGGAGGTCTTCGGGGGGCACTGGGACCCACTTGAGTTTCTCACCTGTAGAGCGACGCCCAACGCGCAACAATGATGGTACACAGGCAGAGACCTGGTTAGCGGACGTTGCGGGCAAGGGGACATAGCATATAGGTTGGAAAACGACGCAAAGAACAGACACAGTGGTAGGGAGCACGACCGGAAGTATGATCAGAGGGGATTGACGTACTCTTTCTGGAACTATGCCCTCCAGACCCTTCTCTCTCATGTCCCCTGTCGTCCTCACCAGTCTCCTTCGCCCTTCCTTCCACACGGCCATTCCCGGCATTTATAGGCGTTGTGGCAGCCTGACCCACTTCCGGCCAGCTTTCAGCGTCGTCAATCGCAGGAGGAGTTGTAATCGAGGGTGGTGTGGGATTCAACACAGACGGTGACCTGCCAGGCCTCACCACGAAAGGATCGTCGTAGTCATGCGGATGGGCAACATGTCCGTTCGTATTCGAGGGAGGCATGCTGGGTGAAGACTTGACCGAGATGTCTGCAGAAACACTGACAGAAGGTCCAGCTGAGACGTCAAGACTGGAGGGTGGTGGAGAAGAGGCTGATGAGGCAACTAGGCTGGGATTGATAGACGAAGACATGGGCTGCAAGGGTTGCGACGATTGTGTTCGTGCTGATGCACGCGACGACGCTGCCATCTCTGCTTTGCGCTTGTCCCATACATTGACCGGGGGCACTGTGGACTGCCGTGAGGTCGATAGTGCGGGCGGATCCGAGGAGGTAGGCCCGTGGTGGTGGTTTACGTCACCGTTGGGCCTGGGGTTAGATGAGAGATCTGCCGAAGAGGGCGAGGTTGGCTTAGAAGAAGTGGCCGCGGGCGATATTCGAGGATCCGTGCCGGTAGGTATCGGAAGCGAGGGTCTCGAGGCAGATGGCGATACGACATTGGGCCGCGAGGCCGTAGGGCTGGAGGCAGCGGTGACTATTGAGGACGTAGCCTGGGACGATGCACGGGAGAGTGGTTGTTGGGGTGCGGCTGGTCTGGCATTTTGCTGAGCTTTCTTGGCGCGATCCGCATAGGACAGAGGCGGGTTGGCGGGGGCCAACGGCGCAGGAGAGACCATGTGTTTTGAGGTAGCTGTAAAGACTGCGTATGAGGAGACACGAGTGCCAGACGTAACGAAGATCGATGAGCAAGCGCAGAAAGGAGTCGAGAGAAGCAGAGAATGAAGGGCACGGTGCAATCGATAACCCCGTGACGCTGCGGCCGCTGGACAGGAGAGAGTGGTCAAGAGGACTTGGAGGACGACCGGGGAGGCACACAAGGTGCAAGGGTGGTAAAAATACTGGTGGCGGCGAGGTGAGGTACAGGCCGCGGATGATGGGCTTGGGACAAGCTGCAGACCGAGTTGACGCGGCGTCGGTATTTTGCTGTGTGCCGCTCACGTAACCGCAGAGGCGCCCCTTCGGAGCTTGCTGGGGGCGCGGTGGGCGCCAACTCTATTGGATGTCCTGCCATGATCCACTCCTGTCGCTGTCGTCTCTCCGTACCGAATGACACAACAATAGAAGCCAAGAACGGGATGGTGGCTAACCACGCGAACGAGAGTTTGACTTGTGGACAAGGCCTGCGAGACTGCAAGCATCGGAAGGCGTTGTAATGAATGATGGGGGGCTCTCGATGTCGTTCATGCCGTACAATAACAGCCATGGCACTGGTCAGGATATGTTGGCGCGAGATCGGGCAGGGTTGGAGGCGGTCGACGCCGTTCATACACGGCAGGCAAAGCGCGATGGTCCAGGTGAGGAAATCTATGCTAAATATACGGGCGATGCAACGTGCCCATAAGATTTCTCAAATCACAAAGAGGGATACAAAGGCCCACTGGGAAAACGCTAGGGTCAGGTTGCGTTGCCCATAAATGCTTGCACAGATTTCCCTGCTTGGATCCTGGCGCTTTGCCCGCCGTGCTACGCGCTTCGTACATTGATCGCGACGCGTCGTGGTCATGTGCATGTGACAGTGACGCGCCGGCGAAGACATTGGCGCCCATACCTTCGTCAAACACTGGCAGAGCATGTGGGTCATCGTCATTCACGGATACCTTTACCACGCTTCGGAGGTGTATGGGTGCCGTGAAATGTCTCTCGCATGTTCAGCTGACAAGCTTCGACACATTGTGGAATCCCGTCTGTGTCGCGGAAGAAGCGCCAGACCGAAAGGCGGCATCCACCCACCTATCCACATATCGTGGGTTGGATGCCCTGGGATCATGTCGACGGCTTTCTACGAGGTCTCAAGCAGGTCAGACTACGATTCATATCGATGCTAGCCAACCGTTGGCCAGGAGTACACACTATAGTATTCAAGCCTGGACATTCTGAGCGGAGAAGACGCAAATGACGCATTTCACGATACATCAGCTACCGTCAATAGCGGAAACCTGTTCAAATCGCACCTCGAAGTGTCTCAGAGAAAGTGGTGCGTGGCTCAAATCAATCGGGCTTGAAGTGCGTGCTTTAGTACTCGCAGGACTAGCAAGATTACGTTCAAAGTGACCTACTTACGTAGTTATTCGCCGATTACTACAGTCATCAACCGCCCAATGTAACGCCCAAATATGTTTTCACCTTTGCTGCCTTGATTTTGAGGCTGTACCCACACATTTGGCACCGATGGATAGCTACGGAAAAGCCACATCGAACGAAACCAGAGAAATGTTGGTTGATGAAGTTTTGCGTCCTGAGCGTCTGAATAGGCATTCCCGCCCAACGTAACAGACTCATCTGATATGTTCAACATTCCATATACACTCTCATTGCGAGAACAAAGGCTCCAAAATGACCTCAATTGTCTGGAACATAGATCTGTGTATCTTTGGCCAGTCCTGCCTACTATAGAGTCACACTAGATTCAACTCTCGTGATGTCTGTTATGGTGCTAATCAGGCAGATCTTGTTATCTTGCACACAACACTGAGCTCTATGGCTACTCAGACCCCCAGATTATTCAGGAATATCCCTGAAAATCCACGAGGGTCGGTGGTTCCTACCAGCGCGATGTGGATGGACTTTGAAAGTGATCTCCAACCTAACCTGTTTGTGAATAATTTCACATGCCTAGATGGGGTAACAGTTGCGATGTTTGTGCAAGAATTTCTTGGCCCACAGCAGGAATCAGTGCTCAAGATTCTGAACAGAACAAAAGAGATATACAGAGAATGTCGTGCAAAAAGAATGAAGGAGAGATCTGGAGGAGTACTTGAGATATGGCCGATATGTTACACGAGATGGGGGTGTGACATCAGCCGGTTGATGACTGTAAGCATCTCCATTTGGAGCCCGCCCTACGCGACCGGCTACGCGTGGGTACTGTATACCAACCACTAAGTAGCGTCGGGTCCCACACGCGTGCGGTTGCCATAATACCCTCTGCAAACATGGGCAGCTTCTTCTCCAGAGAACCTCAGCACGACCCCTTCGATCCCATCAAGGACCTCCCAGACCTGTCCGGGAAGGTGATCATCGTCACCGGAGGGAAGTAAGTGCAGCTCAATGAATCGCGGTCCAACCGCCCATGCCGTCACAGGCGCTGATGAGCGGCGGAACTTGCAGCAGCGGGATCGGCTTCACGACCGTGCAGTACCTCGCGCGCAAGGGCGCGAAGGTGTACATCGCGGGGCGCAGCGAGGCGCGCGTCAAGGCCGCGATCGAGCGATTGCACGCCGAGGGACTCGAGCCGGGCAATGGGGCGGTCGAGTGGCTGAAGCTCGACTTGGGCGACCCGCGCAAGGTGAAGGAGAGCGCGGAGAAGTTCGCTGCGAGGGAGACGAGGTTGGACGTGCTCGGTGCGTATGGATCTTCGCCCGAGTCGGTTCAGAGTGTGCTGATGTTCCGCGCAAGTCAACAATGCCGGCGTGTAAGTACTAGGAGGTCGACATTGGGACGGAGCGCTCAAATAATCTTGCCCAGCATGAACGGACAATACGTACTCAACAAGGATGGTGAGTCGCATAAGGCGTTTTACAACCGACTTGCATGCTTCGTCGTACCCCCCTGTGGCCATTGTGCATCGAAGTGTAGAAGCTGACCACTTCCCAGGCATCATCGAGTCGATGGTCACCAAGTAAGCTCAAGTATGTCTGGCCCGGCCCGTCCCATATCATGACAGCACACAACCTAGCTTCATTTCTCCGGTCGTGTTCACTCGGGCCCTACTGCCGCTCCTCACGCAGACTGCGAGGCAGCCGAAGGCGGACGTCCGCATCGTCTGGGTAAGCTGCCGGGCCCTTCCGATCTGCACGAATGTCTCATTCTCCCCTGTGCAGGTCTCCTCGATAGCAATGTCCCAGTTAAAAGGCCGCGAGGTCCGCTTCCGAAACGTCGAGGACCTCAACGAGAAGTTCGGGCTGCATCCTCTGCAGCCCATCCTCCGCTACGGTGCGTGTCCGATCGGTCCCGCAGGAGGCTGGGTGCAATGTCCCTGACGTGTTTCACAGCGAAGTCCAAGCTCGCCGTATTCTTGTGGGCAAGGAAGCTCCAGGCGGAGCTTGACGCCGCAGGCACGCCTATCACGATCGTCTCGGTCCACCCTGGAGCCGTCTGGTCAGGTACGTGAAGCGAGTGCCCTGCCCGGAGGGTCTATTCACAGACGCCGTCCGTGGTTCCCAGAGGGTGTCTATAACGAGCCCTTCTTCCGTTTGCCTGTCGTCGGCACGCTCGCCGCTGCTATCATGAGCAGGACGTTCCTGCCTCCAGCTATCGGAGCGCACCCCTCTGTCGTAGCCACCGCATCTCCGGCCGTGACAGCGGAAAAGGAGAAGTACACGAAGGGTCTCTTGTTACAGCCTGCCGGCAAGCTTGGCGATGTGCCCGCCCCTCAGTGCAACGACGAGAAACTGGCCGATGAGGTGTGGGCCACGGCGGAGGCACTCCTGAAGCAGTGGGACATATCGGTATGAGACTTCCCATGGCCGCGGAACAGCTAGGTTTGGATGCTATATATCATATCTACCGTGTTTCGTTGTATGTACTCTCCACATACCACTCATTGACAAGTTACTTTTGCCTGTCCGTACATGTGGTACATAGTATGTTCTTCTGTGTTCCCGGTATATGTATGACAGTCGACATTGGTATATCTACGAGTATGCAACACGCCGTGCGTGCCGGTGCAATCTCGTATCATGTCCGGTCCCTTCAAGGAATGCGCCACATCGCAATCCCAGCCCGCTCCTTATCGATCTCATCCTTCACGGCCTTGCTTGCCCCGCTTCTCACCGCAGCCGCGACGAGGACCTCGACGGCATCCTTCACCGCCTCCTCCTTCTTCTCCTCGCCCACCTGCGCATCCCCGTCCTGCACATCCGCAGCGGACTCCCCGCCCTGCTCTCCCGCGGTCGACAGCACCAAGCGCTCCCAATCGACGCACAGGTCCAGGAACTCGTACAGCACGCCCACGATCCCCTCGAACTTCCCGTCCTTGCTCGCGGTCTGCGGGCCGTCGCCCTCGGGCAGCTGCACCTTCCAGAGCTGCTCGAGCGTGAGCGTGTCCCAGGCGAGGAGCGGTGCGCCGAGCCGCGCGGGCACGACGATCGCCGGGCAGCCGTTCAGGAGCTGGTACTGGATCACGCTCTCGCTCGGGCGCTGGGAGGTCGTCCAGAGCCCTGCCCGGTGCGGCTTGAGGCCGACCGCGAGGACGACGAGCCGTCGCGGCTGCGGTGGCGGTGGGAGGGGGGCAAGCGCGGGCTCAGGAGAGGGCGTACGGGAGCGCGCGAAGGTCTGCGAGAGGCTCGGGAGTTTCAGCGAGAGGGAATGGCTGGACTGCAATGGCGCCAGAGTGCTCTGCTCGGAGGGAGCGGGCGGAGGGGGTGCCTTGGTGAAGGAGATCACTTGCGCGGATTCCGCGAGCAAAGTTTCGCCGAGTCTGTAGTCGCCTGTGTATTGATGTCGAACGCACATCGCAAGATACAGGATGGTTAGTCGTCACGGACGGTACCACGGCTTTGCCGATCGAGGGGGTTGAGTCAAGAGGCAATTACGGACCTGAGAGGAAGGGCCCGTGGCAAAAAACAATGTCGGGCTTAACGGAGCGCGGGATGACGGGTCTACGACCAGATGCAAATAGGTAGGGTGAAAACCACCCCTTCTCGATTGAGAGGTAATCCATGACGCTAGAGAACAAGGAGTTGTCTCTGAAACGGAACATCGTCCAGTTAGTATCCATGCAAGCCAACCTCCCGCGCTTTGAAGAACTACGGCGCAACATTGAAAGCACTGGTGCTTGGTTTCATGGGGACCCTGGAGGCAACGCTTGCATCCAGAGCCCAAAGCTCAAGACCCGTACCGTGCCACGCAACCCATGAGGACAGGAACTCACTTATGGATCCCGCTGCGGTAAAAACCGAGCGATGCATCGTCGGGTAGATGTTTGTACTTCAACGTGATGGTCATGGTCTTGATCCCGGTCGTCTGCAAGCGGCTAGAGTGTATAGGAACGAGTTCGTGAATTGTACCGTCGAAGATGAGGTCGTTTGCGGCCTTCGCGGTCAGATCGAAGCCGACGTGCATGCCCATCTCGACAAGGATGGTATCGCCAAATGTCGATACAACTGCGTCGGACACGGGTCCCATGACAGGAGCCGCGACGGCTGCGACGCCACCCTGTTCCACGTGCGATGAGGGTGTGATGGATATGTGGAGTGTTCAAAAAGGTGTATGTGGGTAGCGACGGCGTGTTGTTCAACCAGAACAGAGATAGAACAGGCAGGGACCATCGTCAAGATTCGAGAAGCAGGACGACGCATTGGAAGGGTCCATATGCCGTTCCAAATGCGGCGCACCATAGTGGGGATGGTGATGGGTAAATGGATGAGTCAGCACTGCGACCAGCACAGAAAAATGGGAGTGCCATACCGTCGCCGCAATAATGGTATGTACCGCAAGGTCTCTGAAGCGAATACAAGGCAGGAGAAGCGGGGAAGAGTCACCCCACTGTTTCACCAGCGCGAGGTCCACCAAACCACGTTAACCACGAGGTCCATAAAAATCCGAGGACGTGTGGGCCAGTATGCATCGGGGAGGCCAGCAGTCAGCGAGTGAGCTGCCACCGTTAGAGTACGTACGGACATACCGGTGAAAGACAGATGACGCTCGTTCCGGAAGCTCTCAGGGTTTCCCAAGAAGACCTCACGATCCGTCCAGTCATAGACTGGCGGATTCATTGCCGCCGATGGTAAGCAGCCGTGAAGGGTAAACACACGGTGGTTTAAGGTTGTGTGTATGTGACATGCCAGTGACAAGGGAGACGGGCACGCAGGAATCCACGCGGATGGTTAGATGGTGGCTAGAAAGAAACGAAGCGAGTAACGTACACCAACGAGCTTGCGGACGATCCATGGCGCCGACTTCTCTGTCTCCGCTTCAGGCACGGAGTCCGGGTCGATGGGCCCCAAAGGCGACACGCTCGTACTCATCGTAGCTGGCGGTAGTTTCCACTCGTGTATTTCGAAGTCCTTGCAAGTTCTTGGCTACCTGGGAAAGGTGTGACGGAGTGCTAACAGCTCTTCGTTGGCAAAGTAATGCCTAACAACGAACCGGCGCATGCCGCTGAGCGCTGTGCAGCGGAGAGCAAGTGGGAATCTGGATAATCGCGCCTTCTATCATGATAGGAACCACCAGGACCTTCCGCGCTCGGACGGTCCTACCGTCCGTTCGCGTGGTCACGGTGATAGACATGCGGTGAGCCCCTGTGTGTCCGGAAATATCAACTTGCGGACATACGAGGATACTTGTAGGCGGACGGAGCTCGAGATCGAACTTGTTGCAACGTTGTGGCGGTGACGGTGACGGCGTCAATCCTATACATGTCCGGCTTGCGCGATAATCATCGGCTGACGGACTATGGACGGGTGCGAAGGCGCGTTCGAGTGTTAGCTGTGAGGATTTTCGCGCATGTGGACATCTTCAACAGGCAAGCCCGGGAGCTGAAGAGGCGTCCGCGCTTACATGGGTTTACGCCCTACTGCGTGTCTAACACGGCGCTACATAGCGTCTCGTTCGATACGCCAAACAAGATGATTCCCTCGGAGCTTGGTAGGATGTCATGATAGGGGAATCAGATGCCAGACACTCATACTCAGACATCAAGTACTCCTTCGACCGATGTGTTATATCCACTCGTACGAGACATACATATTCGTGAAGACGGGCGCGTTGAGGCCCAACCGTTGCATCATCACTACCACCATCCGTCGCCAACGTCTGCATCGACACCGTGCTGCACACTCGGCGTTCATCCTCCGCTGTGGTCGGCTCGCTGAGACGAGCCTGTTACGGCTCGAGGAGCACCAACAAGCCTCCGCCTGACCTAACCTCTAACCAAGGGCCGTTGAGGATCCCATCTACCTGGTCCTTGTAATTTTCCAATATAAGAGAGAAGGCGCGTTGAGGCCGTAAGCGTCTGCGTAGCAGTTGAATAAGTTACGCCGCGACGACTACCAGTCAGGTTCCCGGTGGCCGCTTAGTAGCGGTAGTGCGACGGCTTGTACGGGCCGCTGACAGGAATGTCGAGGTAGGATGACTGCTCGAGGGTGAGCGTAGTAAGCTTGACGTTGAGCTGGGCCAGGTGCGCGCGAGCGACCTCCTCATCGAGCTCCTTGGGAAGCATGTGAACGCCGAGCTCAAACTTGCCCGGGTTCGTCCAGAGAGCGATCTGGGCAAGAACCTGATTCGCGAACGAGCAAGACATAACGAAGGAGGGGTGACCAGTGGCACAACTATGAGACAAGTGAGGCAATAATCAACCTCCTGAAACACGTCGTTGGGAGTCAGATGTACGTACCCGAGGTTGACAAGACGGCCCTCAGCGAGAAGGATGATGTGGCGGCCAGAGGCCATCGTGTAGCGGTCAACCTGAGGCTTGATGTTGACGACCTGGGCCGCGTTCTTCTTGAGCCAGGCAACGTCGATCTCGACGTCGAAGTGACCAATGCTACATTATATGTCGGATCAATAGCCTGTATCAAACGTCTTGGATAAGACATACTTCGAAACAATAGCGTCCTCAGGCATGACTTCGAAGTGCTTTGCAGTGATGATGTCACGGTTACCAGTGGTGGTGACGAAGACGTTCGCGCGAGGAGCGGCTTCCTCCATGGTCGTGACCTCATAGCCGGCCATCGCAGCCTGAAGGGCGTTGATGGGGTCGATCTCGGTGATGAGGACGCGAGCGCCGTAGGAACGGAGCGACTCCGCGCACTACGAAGGAGTTAGGACCAATCGACGGGATGACGACGTATGGTACTCACACCCTTGCCGACGTCACCGAACCCGGCCACAACAGCAACCTTACCGGCGAGCATCACATCAGTCGCGCGCTTGATACCATCGACGAGAGACTCGCGGCAGCCGTAGTAGTTGTCGAACTTGGACTTCGTCACGGAGTCGTTGACGTTGATGGCGGGAACCTTGAGCTTGCCGTCGCGGAACATCTTGTACAGGTGGTGAACACCGGTGGTGGTCTCCTCGGAAAGACCGCGTATACCTATGCATGTCGTGTTAGGCAAGTCCGCCGGACGCGGGATGAATTAACCTACCAGCAAGGTACTGGGGGTACTTGTCGTGGACGAGGGTAGTGAGGTCACCACCGTCGTCGAGGATCATGTTGAGGGGTTGACCGCCGGGGAATGCCGCGAGAGTCTGCTCAATGCACCAATTGTACTCTTCCTCAGTCTCACCCTTCCAGGCGAAGACAGGAACGCCAGTAGCAGCGATACTGAAACAATGAAACTGATGTCAGGAGACGGCCTTCAGGAAATGAGAAATTTACATACGCGGCCGCAGCGTGATCCTGAGTCGAGAAAATGTTCTGCAGACAACAGAGGTCAATACGCGCAGCCAGTCTCGCATTATCAAGTGCGCACTCACGCAAGACGACCAGGTGACCTCAGCACCGAGAGCAGTCAAGGTCTCGATGAGGACAGCAGTCTGGATGGTCCTGTGCTCTCAGTTAGAAGCATGCTTAGCAAGTCGCTAGGGAGAATAGCTCACATGTGAAGACATCCAGCGATACGAGCACCCTTCAAAGGCTGCTGAGCGCCGTACTGCGATTTTGAAAATCAGCAACAGCCGCACGCAAGCAATCGGATAGACATGTACCTTCTGGCGCATGTACATGAGACCCGGCATCTCATGCTGGTGAAAACCATATCCGCGTCAGCACTAAAGCACGATACGGATGGAAAGCTAGTATTCACCTCGGCGATCTCGATCTCCTTACGACCAAACGCAGCGAGAGAGACGTCTACGCGTGCTACGTCAGATCCAGCTTCATCCAAGCTTTTGAGCACTTACCAGCAACCTTGAAGACCATCGTGCTCAGAGAATGGCGTTTTTGAGAGTGAAGAAGGGGATGTGGGAGATGTGGGAGTGGGGGAAAGAAGGGCGGGCGGCCGCGAATTTTATTGCGCGCAAATCGTTCGAGGATCTAATCACACGTGGGTATGCTAATCTAATCCAGCACATCGTTTGCCCCGCAAGCCTGTCCGCAAGGCGAGCCTGCTCTTTCCCTCCATGCTTCGGTCCATTTTGCGTATCAACTGAGGTTACACTCATATCTGCGTCGTACCACCTTCTGCGTGCAGCATGTCGAGCCCTCCAGACAACGTGCAACCCCGCGAACAGTGTCGCCTCGCAGAAATCCTGCAGTACAAATGCGTTGCCGAAGACGTCGACAAGGGTCAGCTGAAGGTGCATTGTTTGCCTATTCCCCGCATCTTTAGGATGTACGTACAAGTCCACTCATCGTCCTCACTACGGACCTTGTGCGCAAGAACCTTTGCTGACTGGGCGTGTGAAGTTGTCCGAACAGGCCAGCGGTAGAGATGACAAGGTTCGTCGACGTGGACCTAGAATCGGGGGCCGTCCATATACCCGCACCGTCAAGGTAAGCTCATGATCAGACACGTTCCCACACTCGCTGGTACTCATTTTTATCCATGTCTTCTAGTCAAGTGCTTCCCAAGGCTAAGCCGTGGCGGGACGTGGTGCGATACGACAACCCGTTTGACAACGGTCGTCCCGAGGGGTAAGGCTCAGATCATATGAGTACTCAATTCACGTCCGTCAGCGCGTCAGCCTCGACACTTCCAATATCTGGGTGTCCTGCACTGTATCATCCATCGCGTTGCGTTGAATACAGTTTCAGTCAGCTCTGCCCGTTTGTCAGGTCACAGCCTGTATCAATGCCGGGCGCCGACTGTGGGTACTCTTGGTGCTTCTAATTCAGGTGCTGTTCCTCGGTGCTGCGACACAGGCATGCATGCAAGTCGCAGCACACTCAAATCGCTCATCAGGAATGGGTGTACGACATTTATTGCTTACTGCCGCGCTTGGCAGATTGACAAGCGAATGCTTGAAGGAAGGTGTTGAAGGGCAAGGTGTCAGATGAGCTTTCCATCCAAGTTCGCGATTGGATACTACATTGAGTGTCATTAGATCGCGGCGATGGGCAAGCCGGTGGTAGGTCGAGTGGCAGGGGTTGTGTTCTTCATTGCATAGGTCCTTAGCCGCTTCGGCTGCAAGAAGCTTGGGTGACATACTGTTACCGACCTTCTGCTCGATGTGCCGATCCAACGTTCGTTGTCGGGTGTGCATACAACGCGCGGTGATCGAAGATGAAGCTGGACGGACTCGACATCGGCGTGGTCGTACATTGCGATTTACCGTGATTGACCGCTTCAGGTCCGCCAGAACGAATGGCGCATCGTTGTCGAGTCGAGCGCGGCGCATCGATTGTCTCCATCATAACTGACTTCTTGACTTCTTGCGTCATTTCCAATCTCGACATATTGCACTGTGTTTATTGATCGTCCTGTAGATCAGCTGTGCTTGTCGTCGCCATCCGAGGCCATGAGTATGGCGTCGGCGGTCAATGCATGCTCTCGTATTGTCATCAATCATCACGCACCAGCTTCTTATCTTACGCTCGATGCCGGCCAGCTTGTCCTGCCATTGCGTGCTGGTCATGGGTCCTCCATGGGTGATTCTTTGGACAGTATTTATGATCAATAGCTGATCGCTCTTGGCCTGTAGGAATAGCAACGCCGCTCTCACGCGAGGAGGCGAGTCCCCAGTTTGGGTTTGGGAGATGATTCCGTCGCCGCTTGACGCGTCAATCGTGACGATAGATCATTGATGCGCTGTTAACAAGTCAAGTCCGTCGTTAGCAGACAACTCGACCGTCATACGTACCAGTGTACCTTTCCTCGACGACGGGCACAGTCGTCTTGTCGTACACAAACGTCTAAATCGGCCGGACTGTCCCGGGCCAGGTCGGGTTTCCAGCTGGATGTCTAGCGACACCCATCGCCTTATCACACTTCTTTGCCACCTTTTGACTACACGCTCCGCGACGGCATGTTTCAATGAGCGATGCTTCCCCGTCCTACGAAGCTGCTGGAGTTTCATACGCGTAGTTCGGCCATATGTGCGGGGCGCCCCCTGACCTGAGATGAGACATCGACCCTGGGTCGGCTCGCGCGTTGCGGTCGCGGTTATCCCCGCGCGGTCACCGGGGGACTGGACATGACGCAATGATCAGCATGCGGATCACAGCCGTGAGTAAGACTGGACCGGCTCTGAGAGTATTGCATGTTTAATATGCTGTGCACCCTATATCGTTATCGGAGTCTTGGGAGCTCTCTCGCCTTCCCTCTGGCTGACAAGGCTCTGCGGGGTGTCCCAATACTCTCAGCAAAGGTTGTGCGGCGTGGCTGGGACGGCGCCCGCGATGTGATGTTGATGTTGGGCGCTCTGTCGGGGAGGATTAGCCCTGCCGTTGTGCCGCCGGAATGTACTGGTGGCTTGCGGTTCATGCAGTGTATGTTGTGCACCATATCGTGCCCGTCAAACAGTTCATTATAGCGAGGCACCCGTGTGATAGACACCTGGTTTACTTCTGGCTACAGACATGAGCGCAGGACGGGCGTGCCAGGCAGGCATAGCCAATGAACAGCTCTGTCGATGCCGTGCCCTTACAGGTCGGGACACGTGATAGATCATCAGTAACCAACGGACGACACCGCTATGCAAGCTGCTGCTGGGTCGCCCGGTGCGCTGCCTCGGATGCGCACTATCGTCCCGGATATCGACTTGTCTCCATGTTGTCCTTCCGACCCCTGGATCTCGCCTGCCATATGGGTGCGTTTGAGTTTGGCGGTGCTCTTGCTTACCATGCGAACTGTGGTAGTTGCGTGTTGAGATCCCTCGGCCATATCGTCGTATGTACGATCACCATACTATCAAAGGCGCATGCGTATCCCAGCTTCTGATGATTCTCTACAACAAAGGTCCCACTCTCGTCTCCACTCCCAGATTGGACCAAGGCAGTCCACATCCGCTGCGCTCGTTCCGGGGATTCCCAAGCTTCTGTCATTTCGGTCCCTCTGGACCTCCTGCCGCCATAGGCCTCTCGAGGATCGCTGTCCCTCGCGACATTTGATCATCTCCCCAACAACGTCGATGGGCAGAATAGCATGAGTCCCACAATTGCGTAAGTACAGAGCGTCCTCCCGCTACCTCTCCAAGAGCACCGTACACCGCCACGGCCCCTCGCGTTTCGGATTTATACTGCCATGCTCACTGCTACCGCTCCGCCACTCAACTCTCGAGTCGAGTTCCTCAAGTTGGCTACTTATCTTCCCTCGCCACCCGCCTCTCCCTTCCTTTTTCCTTCGGTTTCGACGTTCTCAGCCTCTTTCTCCAACCCAGCACGACTCGCGTGCCCCAGTCCTTCATTGATAGCTCGCACATCTCGCGTCCACAAAACACCATACCGTACTATTGAGGAACGCCAGTACACACTATTCAAAATGTCTCAGGGTCCCTACGCAACGTGGCAATCCGGCGTTAAAACCGAACACGACCAGTTCTCGGGAAGCCCACAAGCAGCCGTGACAGCATCCCGCCGAAGCGGGAGTGGAGACAACCAGCAAGCTGCCTCCTTCGCATATGGCAGCTATCCGCAGGTATGAGAGATTGGCAACTCTATCGTAGATTGGTGTCCCATGCTCACAATTCCTATCTGTAGGGCGAGGCTCACCGCCGCCTACAATCGCGCACCGGGATGCGTGGGCACTCCAGTTCGACCTCCAGCCTTTCGGGTGCTATGGGCGACGCCCAGATCAGTGTCCAACCCCGTCAGTCAGTCACTCCGCCTTCCGGACTGGCATCGTGGACGTCGTCTCCGACCTCCACTACGATGTCTGGAGCGCCGTTCATGAACGTGCCCGACGACATGACTTACCTCGCGCCTGTCACTCCCATTACGTCGGCTAGCCCGTCGGGGGCGTTCGGGTCGTTTGGTCCGTACAATCTGCAGATGTACGGTTCACCCGACACCTCCCCCGGAATCCCCTCCCCAGTCTACAGCGACCAGTTCGCTTACCAGCAGAGGGGCCACTCCTCCGCATCCTCCGCTGCTATGGTCATCTCGCCTTCCTCCACGCCCGCTCCCTCGCGTCACAGTCACTCTCCTCACAGCAAGGATGAAGAGATACAGAGACTCCATCAGCGTATCCGTGAACTAGAGCTGGTAGCCGAGTCTTCTCGGAGACGCATCCGCGAGCTTGAAACCGAAGTTTCGCGCGGAATCTACCCGGGTGGCCTCCCCTCGCCTCTCCCCACGCCGGCACCTCCTCCCACCTTCAACGAAGAGTGGCGTGCGCGCACCGACGCGCGTATCAAGTTGTTCTGCTCCTTGAATCGCGCTGGCAACGCGCTCTGCGCATGGCACGATTCTCGGCGAGAGCGGAGAGTGTACCCCCCACGCATGGCGCCGCCGGGCTATCTCAACTGCGGCTGCACTTTCGAGGAAGCGCTCTTCGAGGAGAGCCTCGCGCGTCACGGAGTCGGCAGCTACCTCCCAGGGGAGAGCGTCCGCATGGACCCTGCACTGCGGAACCCGCTTCTCAAACTGCTTCAGCAACGGTACAACTATCGCGACGGGGACTTCGAGCGCGATCCCGTGACTGGCAACTGGATCGAGGGCGAGGGCGCCAACTACTGGGAGGAGAAGGTGGCATCGGGCACGACGTACTCGAGGCGGAACCGCACAGAGTCGGACCGCCGCTAAAAGCGGATACCCGCACATTCCTAATCATCGGATCTTTCTGGTCAACACCAGCGCACACGCTCGCTCGACACATCGCATACCACTATCATACATTCACCCACATACTACTTGCATGTTCCCGTGAGTCTCGCATTGTCCTTCCATTGCTGTTTTTGTGGCCACCGCTTCTTGTTCTCTCGTCGAATGCTTTCGGACAATCATCCTCCTAATTATTTCACCGCGCCGCATTGGCGCTTCGTTTTCTTCTTACCTTTCCTTGCTTTGCTGTCCTTTCCCATCTTACTGTATTGATTGGACGCATAGCATTCGAGCTCGACCCTTCTTCGGCTTTGTTTTCTCCTGCCCGCCCCTCATCGTCTTGTGTATTCATATACCACTCGTGCATCGCCTGTTACAGATGCACTTGACTTGTCCAGTACCCCCACTGTATCTCTAGTTTGTTGGCACCATAGATTGCATTGCATGCCGCATCCATCGCTTGTTGTAGCCATCACGCTGTACTCTACTTCACAACCTAATATGCATATCTATTGTAGCTCTAACCGCAATGAGTGCCGCGCTTCGACTTCGCGCACACTACAGCACGATCAGGTAAGAAGTCGCGACGCGGCCATGCTGCTGTCAACTCTGTTTCGCGCTGTGCGGGACACGTTGCATGCATCAAGGGACGTCGCGCGGAAGACAGCCTTGTTTCTTCTCTTGCAACCGACACACCACGACGTGACGCTGTTTTCGCACAGGGTTGCTCCGGTCAAGTCACCATATGTACACATACATGGCCGAAACAACGACCAGACACGCGGCGTTGTGCTTCAGGCGCGGGTACACAACGTGACACTGAGAGGTTGAGCAGGGGTGGTGACGGTATATTCCATGGCTATCATACAAGACACGCGGCGCATCCCCTCTCGGTCAACACGGGGTTGCACGCGACGTAGGCCGTCGAATCTACAGCGAAGCCTTGGCGTACACATATTCTCCACCCTTCTCCAGAGCCTAAAAACTTGTGAATGTCTGATCTTCGTGCAGAGGTGCGATAACTTACCCGCTTATACGCCGGCCTGAGAACGTGCTGGGTGAGCGACGTCCGGCACACAAGGGAAACGTGAATCGTACCTCTCATGCGCACGCTTGACATACTCGATCGTCTTCGAACCAAGGACAGTCTTGTCCTGACTGTCCAATGCCTCGAGTGGGAAAATCATCATGTAGTCTGCGGCGGTCGGCACCTCTCCGCCGGCAAACCAGCCATTGGTCTTGGCCAGATGGTCCTCAATCTAATCGACATTCCGGCATTAAGGCGACACCACACAGCGCGGAACAAAGCAGTTTGCTCACCATTTGCACGTGTGTCTTCAAACGGGGGTTCAGCATCAAAGCCGAGACCTGGTTAAAGACGGACCGGAGGAGGGGACGGATGAGGAAGGGCGAGCGCTCCGGGATTATCTTGAAGATGATTTTGTTAACAAGAATAGGCATAAGCGATGCTTCTGCATAATGCGTGTCTGCAGGCTTTGTCAACATACACAGCACGATGCTGTAAGACGAGAAAGCGATTACAATAGAGGTCGTCAAGCCACCCTGACTCCGGTGGCTGGGCACGACCGTTACCGTACTTCTTGATGATATATTCTGCGCAGAGACCTGCGGTAAGCTATCGTCTTCATTGCACGTCGGATGTAGACGGCCATTTGGGGCGCTCCGAGAGCGTTGTCGGACCGGCGAGCATACCCAGCTACCGATTGACAAATCCGTTGCGACAAGTTACGCACCGATAATAGCGCCGCTCTCTGCCAGAGTGAGGTCACCATCAGTAATGACCGGTGCGTTTCCCAGCGGGTGAACGGCCTTGAGCTCAGGCGGCGCTAGTCGCTCAGCGGTGCGCTGATACTTTTTGACCTCGTAGGGCACTTCGAGCTCCTCCTGAGAGCGTCATATGGGATGGATCATGATGCGCAGAAGTATATCGTGGTGATGATGAGCAGAATATGGAGCAGGACATCTGTTAGCGCTTGAACAGTCGGGAAATGCCGGCAACGCTGTACTGACCAGAAGCCAAAGGATACGCTGGGAACGCGAATCATTCAAGTGATGAACAATGAGCTTTGGGACTGTGTCGGTGTTGCTAGCCACAGGTGCGGCCATGATGATGGAGGTGGGGACGACAAGGGTGTGCGAACGTAACGGAGGTGTCTTTCAGCTCATAGAGCTGTACGAGCGCCTACTTCGGGTGACGTACTTCCGGCTGCCGACAGCTCCCACGTTCCAAGGTTGTGCACCCACGGCACCGTGCACATCGCCCACCTTTGACACTGAATCCACATCGCGGTCGGCCTTCATCACGTTGCCGTCGGTATCTTGCAGCTAGCGAGGCACAGACAATTTCGTCGCTGCGCAGAATGATCGCGTTAGCAACGCTAACATTGATAACTTGCCTTCCGGTGTGCTGTGGATTCTCGTGGGTATATGCGCCTTCAAGACACGAGAAAAGCACCGGAACGCCACAGAGGCCGCTACAGAACATCGATGGTGCGTTCCCTTCGCATCCTATGACATCGGATGGCAATATACTTGATTTCTGTCCGCAGGCAGACTCCCACCGGAGGAGTTGGCGGTGATCTTACAGGGAGCAAGTAAGCAGAATTACCGTGAGACCGTGTGATATCTCATGACGACGCGTTCGCAGGATCTCTCGATGCTTATTCCAAGAAATCAGACTGTTTTCGCCGGGCTGCGAACGCCATACAGACGAGATGCAGCGACCTTGAATCGGACGAAGATGAGCGTGTAAAAGGTGCGTCAGCAGTAATATGCAGCATCTCGGACATTACGATGCCGCACCTCCGCCTCTCCCAGCTGCAATCTCGATGACCCTTTGCGAGATCGCTACCGCCAAACACACATCGCCGCCTATGGAATGCGCGCCTTTTGAGTCTGACTCGAACGGCATGTATGCACTCCATGCTGAATCGAGCGGGCAATGCGTATTGTGAGTGTCTTGCAGGATGTGCCAGCTTTGTTGCAGGTTGCCTTATTGTCTACAGAGCTCTGTCGAGGAGCGCACAATATTGGTCAAGCTATTCTGGATATCTCCGAGAAGTCGGTAAGTTGGTACTTCCTGTCGAACATATCAACACCAGGAATAATATGTCACCAGCCCAGCTATGCTTCGCGTTTCAGCGATGGAACGACATAGGTTCACTTGTGTACTCACGGCAATGCGCGAATGGTCAAACTGAACATCTGTCCTTGGTCTAGACGTGGCGAAGGAATTGTACAAGAACGCATCGATACAAACGATGGACATTCTTCGGTATATGGCCGACCGAGAGAAACACGTAGAGCAAGCTCATGAAGATTCTCGATCGGTCGTGAAAGTAAGTGTTTTGGCTGAATCGCAATCCGCATAGGGCCCGCATGGCGCGTAACCAGGCAATGAAGGCCGTCCTAGAACAAATACGAGCATCATCTATGACCCTTGGCAGTGCATCTGTCGTCGCTTCGGAGAATCTGGGATCGTTGCGTGGCGAGGTAACTTTTTCCGGAGCGACGTCTGTCAAGCCTATCCAAAAGTGCTCGACAGATCTCCAACCAGCTCGGGGCTATCGTCTCGGATGTACAGGAACGCATTGCTCTCGGTCACACGCGTACTGTGTCCAAGGTTAGACTCTGTTGGTGATCATGTTCACTCGTATTCCTAACACTCGGACCAATAGATAGATGCAGATGTCTCTGGGGTCATCAATCATGTGTGTCCCCTATCTCGATTACTTGCACATCGACTTATGCACATCTCTGCAGCTTGGTGCAACCCTGCATAGCATGCAATTAGACTTAGAGAGAACGCTCGCCTACCACATAGGCAACGCATTCGATCTAGTAGAAACACAGCTACTGAACGTCACTCGGTTTATGGTACGTGGCTTCGATGCATCTGCCAAATAACATGATGGAAGTTCGCAGGACGGGACGAGTGCCAATTTTGTAGCTTTAGAGAAGGCATTCGGGCAACTTCACCACGTGTGTACATGATGTTGCAGGATACTTCCCACATCTGCCCCTGACAACGTTGTTTCAGGCTACCTTCCTTCTCACTCAGGACGCGCGGCAGGGCAGAGCAGATATGGAGGCTCATCTCCGAGCGTCCCACGTGGCGCTCGAGAAGCAAATGGCCATCGCGGCTATTTCAGACAATGTGTCTTACGCTCTGTCCGAACTCGTTGTCAGCACACATGCGGGAGTCCAAGATCTCAACGGGACCATCGCGGAGATGAAAGATAACCTTTTGAAGAATCTAGGTGGTGACTGGACGACGACGACGATGTGGCTCTGGTTTCAGGAGGTGATGCTCCAGGTCCTGCGAGGTTCGTGCAACTCGCCACGCGAGGCCGCCAACCCTGGTTATCGTTTCTCCTGAACATCATCCCTCGCAGTCCATCCTGCAAGCTTCCAGCATCCTGTTTTCCATGTGGCATATCACGTCCTCAGGATATGTGGCATGCTTGTTGCCTTCCTCTCTTCTAGGCTCATGGTTAGTTTTTCTGTTGCGGCCCTGACACGTCTCAGCTTGACTCACTTAATGGTTTCGTAGACTGGTTCTGTGCTTCTCGTTTCTGCTTGGAACTTGATCTCGAAGACTTCCAAACCTCATGGAATTAACTCCGATCAGCTACTGCTCTCTGTTTTACCTGAGGCTCCGCGTGTCCGGACAAGGCAGCCCGTGGAAGGTCAATCTCTGCAGCTGGACGGCGACTTCTTGCACTTTGACCGGATGCCCGGACTTTCCCTGGGCTCCGGCCATGGCCGGCCAACCAACGTGATGTCTGTCCGGCGCCGTCCTCGACTATCTCGAATACCAGATCGGCTCTGTGGAACCTTGTCCTAGACTTTTGCACGTCTCAGCCATCATGGACTTGTCGCGCTGGTCTCCTCTGGTGGGATATGGCGTAGTATTCTAGCTAAAGCATAATGAAACACAAAAGCATGACCGATTCCTGAGTCCTGTCGCGTGCCGATCGCGAGGACAAGGCACGTAGCATAGGCATTGTTTGCCTCGCGGGTTCACAATGCAAAATAAGCGAGGTTTCTAGCCCGAGAGACGCGGGCCCACGATAGCGGAGGTATACGTAAGAGATTAGCGCCGATTATAACGGGAATAATGCACGCGTCATCCGATCATCTCCATGATAATACCTCGGTTTATGGAACCCTTTGAAAGTTCAAACCAAATTCGCACACCCATGTAAGCCGGCCGGAACCTTGCGGGCGAGTCGCTGCTGTGCTCGGGCCCGGCGTCACCACTTTTGCACAACGCCACCATCCCGTCGCATCCTAAGTAACGGTACTTGGAGGTGCCCAGCCGACACGACCATGCCTCGAGGAGGATTGACGCTTCTTTACGCCTCGCAAGCGGCGGAACCACGATGGTGGACTGGGACAGCCGACCCGAATACGACAAAGGACTACGAGAGTGCTGCGGTAGCATCTCACCCCCGGGGACACCACTACAATAGTAATATAGTCTCGGCTATATTGCCAAATTCGAACTACGATATGACTCCGGAGTGGGCCAGTGTGGCACCTGGGGCGAGTGGCGTATTTGATATTGGTGCCATTCGACGACTGACATCCTTCTTCCCTTCCTTTTTCTCCGAATTCTCGGCTTCCGTACCTCAGCATCCAGCCATGGCTTATACATCTGGCAGTACGAACGGACTACAGCACCCAGAACCATCAACACAACGAGAGGAAGGGCGGCTTATGCATCCACTCCCGCAGAGACCGATGTCATATAGGTCTCTTGCAGACTCAACGACGGTCTGTACGCCCAGAATAAGAGACTGTCATGTGCGTTAGTCATGTGTCTGACCATGGCGTTTCCGCAGAAGAGGCCGAGGGAAGTGTGCTTGAACTTCCTGGCAGGTCGTTGCCGGTACGGCAATGAATGCTCTCGTATACATGTAAGATATTGCTATGCATCTTCCGCGGTTGGTGGCTCACCCTCATTGTGTAGCCACGAAGCAACGAACAGTCTCACAACTTCTCTGTAGCGACTCATGACGGGCCTTCGGTGCCAACCACCATATATGTTACCCCAGTACCGCCGCTTTGTACCGATAGCAAACCTGGAGACCCCTCGCTGCCAAGTCCCGGACCTGCGTCTACTAACTCCGTGCAAGTCCTGGATGGGGTCTATGTAGACAGGTTTGGCAAAACAAAGCTATGGAATCCAGACAGCTTGCACAGCGCCCTACCTGCTCTCCCACCGGCTGACGGACAATCGGAGGATTTGCTGCACCAGCATGGCAATCTCGTTCGAGGTGTCCCAGCTCTCAGTTCACATCTCCCACGTTCTTCACCATTGACGCAGAAGCCTTTGGCTCTTGAACCTCGTGTATCGGCTCATCCTCCGGCCCTCACCTCATCGCAACCACCACCACCCCGAGAAACACCTCCCGTCCCGGTGGCAACCTTACCAGCCCCATCTACGGCTCCACAGCCCTCTATTGCCGAGCCTACCGAGCAAGCTACGCCTTTGGACGCCCACCCTGCTCTGTTAGTGGCAGAAGACACACGTCCGTCCAGGGTAGGCGCCTCATTATGAGTCCTGTGTGAGAGCCACATCGTTGATAGCGCTGCAGAAATCGGACGAAATATGTAAGCTGTATCAGAAAGGTCGATGTCAATGGGGCGAGCGCTGTCACCGAGCACATATCCTGCTACTGCCCGAGCAGGTCCCCGCCCTTCTAGCTTCTGCTGAGACGCAGAAACCGAAGCAGGTACCGGTTTTCGTTCTATTCTTGTCAATGATTCGTGCTGATCAGTCATGGCAGGTCGTCGTGGTTCCTCCACAAACTCATGAAGGGGGCGTAGAGCTTTGCAAGCTGAATCTCGCTGGTGTCTGCCCCAGAGGTGATAGTTGTCATTACTCACATGACATCGAGTCCTACAATCAGCCACGCTCGCGGCCCCCTTCGCCAGAACAGTCCAAGCTAAATCAAAATGGAACACCTGAAGAGGTGACGTGCATCACTCCGTACATTGCCACAGCACGCTCACTTGGACAAAAGGTGTCGTCATCTTCGGGGGAAGCTCGTCCACGTGTGGTACAGCTTGCATCAACTCTTCCTGAGGTGGGTTGCCTGAGGTCATTCGTGAGACGATTGGCATGTGCGTTCTCATGTGAGCCTTCTAGCGACCGCCAAACGTCTCCTCGTTCATACCTCCCGACGTCTGTCGGATGTATTTCCGCCAACGGCAATGCGCCTATCATCGTTGTAAATACCGTCATTGCAATCCAGACGAGGTACATGCAATCCGTGCACCAATCTACGCTGCATCGTCAGGTAGCAAGGGTGACTCGACTACATCGGCAGGGCCTTCAGCGCCTGTAGGACAGGGTGACTTGGCCCTAGAAGAGCTTCGCGACGAGCAGCAGGCATGTTTTGAGTCGCATCCCAAGCATGTAGCCAACTGATCTATAAGTCAAGGGAGATAATGCGCCATCTACGGACAGCGAAAGTTTTGATGTAGAAACTGAAGATGCGGAAAGGGGCAAGTCAAGGTGGGTCCGAGTGGGCGATTATCATGGTCTAAGTCGTCATGAGGTTGATTCTGGGTTTGTTTCGCCCTATAAAGACCCTCTCGAGCGCCTGAGAAACGAGCGAAATCCCGCAAAAAGGTATACAACTTGTGGTCATCATGTTTTCCGCTAATTGATATTGTCATAGAAGGGAAAGGGAAGAGACCCCAAGGGGGAAGACGAGGTGGACCACAACGAGAGGCATGAGCAGACCACTAGTAGAAAGAAAATCACAACGGAGAAAGGAAAGATGAAGGAGAAGGGTGGGAGCCGTCGGGCAACAGGTACTGCCAAGGGAGACAAAGGGGAAATTCTCGACATTGACCCGGTGATGCCTGGGGGAGGGGAGCAGGGCGAGAAGAAAAGGGACGCGGGGGAAAAGCAGGGAGCAGACGGACGTCGCAGGTCGGGCACAGACAAGAAGTCACCCGTAAACGCCACGAAGATTGAGACGGGTAAGGGGAAGCTATCAACAATAGAGGTACCCCAACAAACCGAAGCCCCAATCTCGCAACCCAGTGCGACCTCTGCAGGCCCGTCCACTACGGCAAAGACGGCGAGAGCAGTGCAATCTTCACCAGCTGTGTTTCAAAAGCCTGCACAACCCGCCCCTGTTGCACAGCCTACGGTCGTCGGAACGTCCAGTCGCAACACAAGCGCGGCAGTGCCCGAGAACGCTGCCGGCGATACCGATGTTGAAGAGAGCGATTCTTCGTTCCACACTGTGCGTTTCTATTTATTTCCAGTATGACTTGCATCTCAATCCGTTGTTTCAGCCGCGGTCAGGGACAGTCTCCGGGCATTCGTCATTGTCCTCCATGGACGGCGCCTCCGTGTGCACTGTGAGAGTAACTCCCTGCTGGGACTATTTGAGGGGCAGATGCCAGCGCGATCATTGCCGTTTCTCCCACGATGCCGAGCTTGCGCCTTCTGGCACCACTCAGGTGAGTCTGACTTGCCGTGCTCAAATCATAGCTCATGACGGCTACTGCAGACAACTTCAGGGTCAGCTCGTCAGAACATGCTCATCGGACCCGCGTCTCGGTCCGGAGACCACCAACCAATTCAGAGGCATAGGGCCCATCCCGTCGTCAATAGTCAACACGAGTATGCCACTCGCACGCCGCGTACTCAGAGTCATACCCAAAATCCACTCTCATCCATACCACCGCATGTGTCAGGTCGACTCTCCCGAGAACAGTCACAAAGCAGCTCCGATAACCCAGTAGTTCCTCCAGGGTTGGGATTGGAAGCTGTGAGTGCTTTATCTGCAATTGGTCCGGCGCGAGTTCTAAACGCCGAGCAAATACAGGAATCCAGGGAGGAGAACATCACATTAACGATTCTCGACGCAACGAAGGTGATGTTCGGTCCAGGATTCGGTGTCATCGAAGTGAAGACTGGATTCGAAAGTCGTCAGATCCTCCTCGAGAACGTCCCTGCTACTATAGCGCCCGTCGACATAACTGCAGCTCTGAGTATCTTCGGGGAGGTCATTGCTGTGCTTCCAGTCGATCCAAACGATGGTTCTTCGTCTGCCTACAAGGTCACTTTTGCCCGCGGGGAGTCTGCCATCAACGCTGCAGCCGCTGTAGATAGCTCTGAACTGTTCGCCGGCTCCGAAGTGAAGGCCTGCATGACGGTTAGGAATTCCACGGGCATCGGAGGAGGCAAGCTCTACGATGGAGACGTGCTCTTCGAGCTACCTACCGCGCGTCAAAAGGGCTACGTCGGCTACGAGACCAAGGAGAAGGCTGAGAAGGCCATTGCGCTGGCTCAACAGAAGGGCATGAAGGGCATGCGGGTTACTGCGCAGATCTACGAAGGGATCCCTGTCGTCGGTGCTGTCAACGTCCGCTTCGAGAACTTACCTGGCGACGCCAGCGCCAAGGATCTGGCTCGTTATGGACCGTACGAGACGCATATGCTCGACCGACCCAAATATAACTGGACGGTGAACGCCGCAGTCGACGGCCTTCGTCGCATGCTCGAGGGTTATGGCGACGTATATCTCAACGTCCTCCCTCCTCCTTATAACAAGACGTTCCGCGTCTGGGCACACTTCAAGGACCCTCGGCGAGCCGCGGCAGCGCAGGAAGCTCTGGATCGATTCTGCCCCCGCTTCGTAGGGAAGCAGCGTATCTTCGCTCATCATGTTAGGTCCATTCTATACAATCTCCCTGCCGACGTCTTCGACAACTTGGCGTACGACATCAACCTTCTCCGCTCGTACCATTGCGACGAATACGCTACGAGCATCTCCGTGTTCGATAGACGTATAGTCGCTGATCCAAAGGCGCCTGTCCAAGTCAAGCTCGTTTCGCGCAACATGTCCTCATTGACCAAGCTCAAGGCTGCGTTCGATCGCCTTCTTCGAGGAGAAAAAGTCACAGACAGCGGACAGACAGTCTGGAACGACTTCTTCGGAGGGCCCGCAGGGCAGAACTTCTTAGACGACCTAGAGAAGGCTCACCCCACCGTCAGGATCAATCGGGACACTCGTCGACGGACCTTAGCCCTCTTTGGTCCTCAGGCGGACCGCGCTCACGTCAATGCCGAGATTGTCACCCGTGCGAAACTTCTTCAGGCCCAGCGCAAACATCGCTACTCTGTCGCAAGTCACCTCATTGGCGTCTTCATGAGCGAAGATCTCCCGAGCCTCCAGAAGGAGCTTGGCCGCGAGAACGTATGGTTTGATCTCACCAACAGGCAGCTCGTCGTATGTGGAGATCCTAGCACGCAGAAGGTCGCACGGTTGGTCGTACAACAAGCCGGAAAGCGCCAGAGGAAGCGCAACTCTCGTGGTGACGCCGGATGTCCGGTCTGCTTCGGAGAAGTCTCTCAGCCAGTAAGCCTCATGTGTGGACATACGTGGTGTCAGGCGTGCCTCGTCGGCTACATGCACGCGTCGGTGGACAGCCGGAGTTTCCCACTCACATGTCTGGGAGACGAAGCAAAGTGCACGCATCATATACCTCTCTCCGTCGCTCAGCAGCTTCTCTCTCCCGACGAATTCGATGCCATCGTAAACGCTTCTTTCCTCGCCCATGTCCAATCACATCCCGACGAGTTCCACTACTGCCCTACCCCCGATTGCCCCCAGGTCTACCGGAAATCAGGCCCCGGCGCAGTTCTCCAGTGCCCGTCATGTCTCGTCCGCATCTGCTCCCACTGCAACATGGAGTACCACGAGAGCCGATCGTGCCAGGACCAGAACCCCGAGGATGAGAGACTTTTCGAGAGGTGGAAGCTGGGACACGACGTCAAGGACTGCCCGAGTTGCAAGGTCCCTATTGAGCGCATGGCGGGATGCAATCATATGACGTGCACGAGCTGCCAAACGCACATCTGCTGGGCTTGCCTCGCCACGTTCTCCACCAGCCAGCAGGTCTACAGCCACATGCGATCCATCCATGGCGGCATCGGGCTCTGACTGGCATTGCTTGCTTGTGAGTATCTCGTTTCGTATCCTGATCCGAGAGCCCTTCTTCGTTACAGTGCTCCTCCTGCCGTTATGCCTCACTCTATGCTGCGCTATCGACTCTGGCCAACTGCTATTACATTTACGTCTTTTTCGGTTTTGTATTTTTCGGTTTTGTATCTCTGTTGGACGGCTAATGTATTACAGCGACCCTTACATGTATCAGTACTGTGGTACCCTTCGTTCAGCTCATGGAATTGCAGTCATTCCGACGTATGAGACCGTCGCGCGGATCTGCTGCGGCGCCGCGCGAGAGCGCCTGGAGCGGGGTAGTACAAGGTAAGGTTCCTGATCGTTTCGGACACGTAGACACGGTCTCTCAGACCACCTCCAACACCATGCCACAAGGAGGCGACAGGCACGAAACCAGATTGCGGCGCCGTTGTCTGCCGTAAATTTTCTCTTGTGGAAAGAATACGACCAGATATGAATTAGCTCCGGCGGCACGATGTCGAGAAGCAGTTGATATTGTCGTAACACTACCCAGCAGGGATCCACGAACCTTGATCCCTTATCGTATGGTTGAGTGAGATATACACAAAGTCCGCGCTACATTGTGGCTAAATAACGTGGTTGTACCGTTCCTACGTCACGGTACGGGTGCCAGCATGTCTCACCAAGGCTTTGACTGGCGGTTCCCGGGGGTCTGACAGCGCCCGGCAGCGCTCCGTCTGCTTCGGAAATTTCCGGAGAGCAGTCGAAGGCGGTTCAATTTGTTATCCTTGGGTGTGTTGAGTTGATGCTGTCCTATTCAAGTGAAGTGTCGCAATACCTTTCTGAAGTCCCTGTGTCCGTCTCGCCGCAGAATTCACAAATCAGCATCGCATACTCACATCATTTTGGTGTTTGTTCGATGTCTATCCGAGTCCAAGGTGAGGAACACTCTACGACTCGCAAATGGACCAGACTTGTTCGCCGAGCTACAGGTGCGTTCTATGACATTAGATTCAACATTCGCCATCCGGCAGGAGCGCGGCAAAGTCCCGCTTCTGGAGATTTGTGTATCCCGTCATTGCGAGGGGACACATCTCGGTCCCCCCAGCAGCTCATGGTATGACAACTTCGAGGCCTCGCACCACGAAGCGTCAGGGTGCCTTCACCTAGCTTCGTGTACTCCGTGGCCTTGCAGTTTGCCGTACCCAACCCTCGTTGAGCGGTCTCTTTCAATGTAACCACTGACCCATGTTGGCCATTTGCTCCATCACGCTGAGATCGTGGACCTGACGCGCCCCCCTAGTAGTCGAAATCTACTCTGCGCTGAGGTCCCACAGATATGCACTTGGTTTTGAACATCAAAATTGCCTCAACTGCGTGGTTGTGTCCACATCTTGGGCAAGGGATCGTAGAGTTCAAGCACGCCATGCACGTTGTGTCACGGACGTTGGACAGACGCCCCTTTTTGCCGCCCATTCCCTTCCCTTTGACGCCCACCTTCCATTTCCGGACCGTTTCCTTTCCTAGCTCATCCCAGTTTGGACACTGTAGATACGTTCCCACAGCCGCATGCTACGTTCCCGTGATCGCCATGCCCTTGCCTTTTCTTTCTCGCCCTTTGTTCCCCCTTTGTCATCTTCACTGCCTCGCTCTCGCGCCTTGTCCTTGGTTGCTAAGCAGCCCCTCTAGTATATAAGGACCCCCCTAGGCGCTCCCTAGTCCCCATCTCGACCTCTTGGTCATTGGGACTAGGTGAGTGACCATAGTGTTGTATCTCTCTTCGATTGCTAATGTATAACTTGGTCATTGGGACTAGTCTGTCGCTATCTGCGTGAAGACTAGCTTCGTAGGTCTTGTGCCTTCGTGCCGGCCTCCGCTCTGCCCCGTCGAGTTTCTTGTTGCGTTTATCCCTCTTTCCCTCGCTTTCCCCTTTCGGCTCCTCGCCGCTCGCCTAC